GAAAGAAAAATCCAAGGTGCTGGATACTTTTAAGAGGTTTAAAGTGATGATTGAAAATACAACTGGAAGATACATCAAATCGGTCCATTTAGACCGAGGTGGGGAGTATGTGTCAATAGCGTTTAAAAGATATTGTGAAGAACACGGGATAAGGCGGTTTCTGACCGCGCCATACTCACCCCAGCAAAATGGAGTAGCTGAGAAGAAGAATCGGACTATCCTGGATATGGTCTGATCTATGCTGAAAACAAAGAACATGCAAAAAGGAGTTTTGGGGAGAAGCCGTACAGTGTGCAGTGTACGTGCAAAACCGATATGCTCATTCGAGTCTGAATGATAAAACCCCGCAGGAAGCGTGGAGTGGTTTGAAGCCCTCAGTGGGTCATTTTAAAAATTTTGGGAGTATTGCGTATGCACACATACCGGATCAGTTGAGGACGAAGCTTGAAGACAAAAGTAAGAAGTTCGTGTTCATTGGTTATGATGAGAAGACGAAGGGGTACAAGTTGCTGGACCCCGTCAGTAAAAGGGTGTTGGTGAGCCGAGATGTGAAAGTAAATGAGTAAGATGGATGGGACTGGAGTAGTCCATCCGGGGTCAATGTGGAACCCGGACACATATCAATTGAGGTCGGATAACATTCGACCCGGATTCCAGAGAATCCGAATGAATCTGATAATGATAAAGAGCAAAGACAACCGAGATTGAGAAGCCTACAAGACTTGTATGACTCAACCAATGAAGCACACCTGATATGTTTGTTAGCAGATTCTGAGGAGTTGAGCTTTGAGGAAGCTGTCCGAGATGAGAAATGGCAATCTGCCATGGATGAGGAAATGAAGGCGATAGAAAATAACAAGACGTGGGAGTTAGTCGAGCTACCAAAGGGAAGTCGGCCAATTGGTGTAAAATGGGTCTACAAGAAGAAAATGAATGCTAAGGGGGAGATAGAGAGATTCAAAGCCCGGCTAGTGGCGAAAGGGTATAAGCATAAGGCTGGAGTAGACTATGACGAGGTGTTTGCACCTGTGGCAAGAATGGAGGCAATACGGCTGTTGATTTCTCAAGCAACCCAATTTGGATGACCGATCTATCAGATGGACGTGAAATCGGCATTTTTGAATGGATTACTCGAGGAAGAGGTGTATCTCGAACAACCTGATATGCCTCCAGCATATATATGATTTTAAGCCAAAAAGAGAAAGAATCTTGATCAATCTTGGATAAAAAGGGCTATAATTGTTATTAAATTGATAAATCTCAATCAGATATCTTGTCACTGATTTTATTATATTTTTGTAGGAAAATCTTCAACTTATCTCAAAATTGTAACAGAAAGATTGGATCAAGATATATGATGAAGATTTGATTAAGATATATGATGAGGATTTGATCAAGATTTCTAAGCAAGGCACAATTCTATAAATAGAGATCCAGACCTCATAGCAAAGAATCTTTAGCTGGAGAGAATTCTTGGAGACTCACACTGGAGATCAGGATTATTCTTTTTCTTTTATGAATTCTTTTTATATTAATTTGTCAGACATGAGTATGTCTGGCTAGTCTTTTTATATTGTGGTAAGGGCACAACGCTTGATGTGAACCCTTGTAGTTTGGTTAAATTTATATTTAATTATTTCAAATTGCATTTATTTTATCCTATTCTTCATCTTTTAATTCTTTTAGAATTGATCACTCTATTAGGATTGCAACGGTTAGGGTTTTTAATAGGAATATTGGGATTCTAGTTCCTGACAAGGGTAAAATAACAGTTCATGTATGCACTAGGGATAGGCTACATGAACTGCAAACGTGGAAAATTCATTGGGTTAAAAGATTAACTTGAAAAAGGATTTCTAAGGGATTAGGATTCTAATAGGTTAATAAAGTTAAGATCACTAAGGGATTAGGGCTTAACTAATTAATTATAGATGGTGAATTGTTTGATCAATTGGGTAATTAAATATAAATATTAATCAAGATTACAAGGCGGGGATCGGAAAGGTGTTGGCGTCCTTTACTGCAATAGTTTCTTTTAATATTTTTCTCAAATCTCAACCTTTTACTTTAAAGTTTTCAAACTTCTCTTTGAATTGTTCACGAAATATTGAATAGTTCAAAATTGTTACAAACACAATTACTTTCAAAAACCTCTTTTTGTTAATCCAATAAGAAAAGAATAGTTAAATTAGTACTTGGTGCATTAATCCTCGTGGGAACGATACTCTACTTATCACTTTATTACTTGAAACGAACGGTATACTTGCCGATTTCGCAACACAACCTCCGGGGTTCATGAAAGTCGGAGAAGAAAGAAAAGTGTTGAGATTAAAGAAAGCCTTATATGGTTTGAAGCAGGTCCCAAGAGCCTGGAACACGAGGATTGATAATTACTTTAAGAATGATGGATTTGAGCAGTGTCCGTATGAACATGCTCTCTATGTAAAGAAGAAGGAAAGTAAAATTTTACTTGTTGCCTTATATGTTGATGATTTAATTTTTCTGGGTAATGATGAAGGAATGATAAAAGACTTCAAGAAAAGAATGACGGAAGAATTCGAGCTGACGGATCTCGGTCTAATAAGATACTTCCTTGGTCTGGAAGTGAGACAAGACAAATCTGGAATCTTTGTATCTCAAGAAGCTTATGCAAAAGATATTCTGAAAAGGTTCAAAATGATAGACTGCAACCCGTTTTCAACGCCAATGGAACTCGGTTTGAAACCTTCGAAGTATGATGGAGGAGAGAGAGTTGATCCGAGTTACTACCGGAGTCTAGTTGGAAGTCTGAGATATTTGACATTTACAAGGCTGGATCTGTGTCTGAGTGTTGGGATCATAAATCGGTTTATGGAAGACCCGGGGTACACTCACTGGAAGGCGGCTAAGAGAATTCTGAGATATGTGAAGGGAACAATCTCACAAGGACTTCATTACTCGAAGTCGGACAAATACAAACTGACGGGTTATTCAGACAGTGATTGGTGCGGAGATGTTGATGATAGGAAGAGCACGGCTGGCTATGTGTTCTTCATGGGAAACACAGCGTTTACTTGGGTGTCGAAGAAGGAACCCACTGTGACCCTGTCTACATGTGAAGCCGAGTATGTTGCGGCATCTTGGTGTGTTTGCCACGCAATATGGCTGAGGAATTTACTAAGCAAGCTGGAGCAAGAGCAAGTCGGCCCAACCGAGATTTGAGTTGACAACAAGTCCACGATCGAGTTAGCTAAGAACTCGGTCAATCATGAGGGGAGCAAACATATTGATGTCAAATTTCATTTTATCCGGGATCAAGTTAAAGAAGGAAAAGGGAGCTAATTCATGTTGCAAGTCGAGATCAAGTTGGTGACATCTTTACAAAGTCACTGTCGACGTTGCTGTTAGAAAATTGTAAGAAGAAGATGGGCATGAAGGACGGTAGAGATATTAAAGATTAAGGGAGAGTTTTGTTAGGTTAATCTTTAATTTATATAAAAGAAAATGGAAATATGGAAGGTTTTGTTTTGGTTTATGGTGTGTCCCTAGGCATATGTTAGTGGATATTTAATATGTTTAGATTTCCTATGTTAGTCATTATTATTCTTAATCATTTGTTGTTGCTTATAAAAAACACATTGTAACTTTTGAAAAGTGGCTTGGTAGAATCAGTAATACAATAGAGGTATATTCAGAGAATTGTGTGTGTATCCTGTGTGTGAGAGAAACAGTATTAGGACCTGTGAAAATATCACAAAAGACATGCTCCTAGTTTGGCCACGCAAAGGGATTTTCATGGCTTAGAAGGTCAAGCTATTATTACTGCATAATTTACTACATTAGTCAGATTTCGATTGCTACTTCTCTATTATTACCTGTTTACTATATTGAAAATTGAGCTCAAAACTGCTAACTCTGCTTTTGTAGTAGGGGTTTAGATGCTTTCATCCATGATCAGTAGCTTGTTTTGAACATATTCAAAATTGCCATAACAAAATCAGAACTAGAGCAAATATTAAGACATTTAAATTTCTTCATTTACATTGCAGGCATTGGTAAACAATGGGTCAGATAAGTTTCTCTTTTAACTATTATGGCATAAAAATTTCAGTATACCTTTAAGTCTTGAAGCAGTATTAACAGTGGCTTTAAGTCTTGAAGCAATATCCTTTACAAGATAAATAAATCCTAGCATCAATTTTCAGACTCGCTATTTAAAAACACACCATTATAAATTGCATAAGCAATGACATTCAAGCTTCAATCAAATCATAACAGGTTGTGCATGGTTAGTACCCCCACACACTATCTGAGCCAAAAGCATATTGGTCGATTCTAACTAATACTACAAGAATTTTATTCACCCAGCTCAACAACAAAGAATCCACTTACGGTGAATGGTTGTAACTAAAAGAAAATGGCGGTAAATGATTTTACGAAAGCAAAATAGTTACAGTGGAAAGCAACATACATCATTCCTTAATGTTTTGACAAAACAATCAAGGTTGCTTTTGTAAATAGAATCTCCCATCATTCTCGACTTAACCTGCACATACACCAGAAGGAAGATATGCATATAATACATAATGATGTATAGAATCTTTAAACATTTGACCCGACTGTCATGGAAGTAAAAGCCATTTTTAGCTCCAGTTAGCCAATTAACCCATCATTTGCAATAATAAGTACATTTGAACATAGTGGTCAAAGAATTTCTATAATGTTAAAAATTCGAAGTCATAAGAAAACACCTGAGAATCGAATCCCGAAGGATATTTATTCTCTAATACGTAAGGGTATAGAAAAACCTGTAACAAAAATGAGGGGTAAAAAAGCCTAACGACCCAAACTGACTTAATTGTTCAAAATGCATTCCGTGCTTCAAACGTGAAATCAAACATACGGTAAGACGAATTGACTGAGATGAATTAAAAGATTAACAGAACATCATTGGCTGCAAAGCACAAACATAATAGTATGTATGCACCCGACCAACCCCCACAATCTGAGGTAGTAGCGGCTTGCCTGTTTAGTATTTACTTGGACACCACGTCCAAAATATCACTTACCTTTAAGCTGTTCAGAATTCGTATGATTTGAGTTGTTAACAAGATAATGTAAGGCTGAGGAAAAAATTACAAGAAATGCACGAAGAATCTGTTTGTATAAGTAATTACAGATCAGTTTGTTGGACTCTGAAAAATCACAAGGATAATTCTTTTATTACAGACATCCTTCTAAAGTTATAATACTCTCCTTGGGCTTGACTTAAACAGAAACAGATTCTTCAGAAATCAACTGACTGGATTATTATGTCAGCATTTTTCTTGGACTTCATTATAAGTTCTGCGTTGAGCCTGTCGTTGTTCTCTATCTGCATCATGATATTTAGTGTTTGCATGTAAGTATGTAACTGATTACCAACAAAATAGATCAAATATATAGACAACATCCGGGATGGGCAGATAAGAAGAAAAACAAATAAACTTATGTTAAAGGACGTGAATTTTACCCGCTGTTTAGCGATGTCCGGAGGCTTACCTATAATTGAGGATGGAAAAGAAAATCACATGTAAATTCAATATGCCTTCTATACTCGGAGGAAGATGATATATATTACGGAGTAGTACATAGTAAATACCAGTTGAAATATGCCTTTTTAAAACTCGCTGCATTGCTTTGTCAATGTCAATATCAATAAACCTTGAAAAGAACAGCAAGAACAAATTAGACAAACTGGTATCCCTGATAAGGTTGCGTCTTTCTTGATGGATATAAAACCATTTTCAACAGATTTTGGAAATGAACGAAGGCATGCGTCATTCCCCAAGACCACAACGGTAACCAGTAGACCCAGTCTCATAGGTTGTCTTTTCTAGTCTGAAACATATTGCAAGTTATGCCCTGCTTTTAGTACCTCTTATTAACAAGAGGGATGAGCAACATAAGCTACAATGTTGGAGACCAAGAATACACTACTCTGAAATACAGTGAATTCTTTCAACAAATGGTGCACTAGACAGGCTATTAATAGTAATGTCAAAACAATAATACAAGGCTAAGCCAGAATAAAAATAATACAAAACAAAGCTGGACGTTTTTGTTTTAGGTAGGAGCCTAATGACATGTACATGTGTAGGTAAATAATACATACTGTAGAATGAGAAAAAAAGAAAGCAAAAGTGAAGAATAACAACGGTGATATTTTCTTCCAGCTAAGTACACTCTTACGGTTAAATTTATTTTACAATTCAACCAGTGAATACTAGGCCAATTATTGAATTTACAGAAAAATTGATATGTGAGCTCAAAGTGAATCAAAGCCTCTTTTAGATATATTCCCAGCATTTATTAGACAAACGAAAAATAAAGATCAGCAAAATATGTGGTCCAGTTAACATAAGATTTTCTTCCATAAGAATAATTTTCCAGTAGAATTTTCAAGCAGAGTCACAGGCTCACAGCTGCATTTTCACAACAGGGTTAACATACAACTTCCAAAACTATCAAGGCCAACAGGAAAATATAAGAGGAAACATGGGCCTCAGTAAAACCAATACTTGCCATTTCTCGTCAAATAAAGATGATATCTCCTTCCATACCCCATCTTCCAAGAGTAAATAGTTACCTTCTACAATAACAACTTTGTGCCTACGTAAAGGAAGAAAACAAAGGAATCTGTTCATGCAGTGCATATTAGCATAACCAAAATAAGCTGACAACATAGCAAGTAGCAACAACTTGGGAAATCAATTACCCTGATCTGAAAAAAAGATAAAGCTCAATGGAGATAAGCACAGAAATGAGAATACAAGTATTAAATAAAAATTTCAAAATATAAGCTATCACTGGCATTAAAGGGCCGACCCAGTTCAAATACCCACTTCGTGAGTGTCTGGGGAAGGGAAATTTTACAAAATTTCTCAATAATATAATAAACAACAAAACTAATGACTGCCAAGGGCTCAATCTCTCAGAGTTGTTAAACATGCATAAAACTACCATAGAGTTGAGTTAAAATTAGAACATTTACTCAACAGAAAGTTCTTGAACATGTAGATTTTCAATGTAATCACCTGAACTCTCTGCTTACCGCTTGATACAGCTTATAAGTGTTACTATAGGTTGGCTATAACAAAGTCTTTTAAGACAATGGATTTCTGCACAATTATAATGATGGAGAATCTTCAGATAATAACCTGAACTTTATCTTTTGACCTCATTCATGATGACCTTTTATCTTTTTCGGAGTGGTGGCTCTAAAGTATTCATCATTTGCTTTTGTTAAATATATACCATGTTTTATGCCAAGAAATTAATAAAATTCTGACTATTGGGACATATCCCAATGTTAAGATACTCACTGAACGTTCACAAAGATGTCATCTTCCACTGGGTCCCCAACACCATGGTCAAATGATGGTGCATAAACTGATCCCTGAAGAATTGTTGTACCAAAATGCAAAAGAACAAAGCAAATAAGAATTCCATCAATGTCAATGCATGGATGATTACAGTTCTTTCTGTGCATCCCAGCTTTATCACAGAATTGGCCCATAAAGATAATCCATATGATTTGAGAAAGAAAAAGGTCATGACACATAAACCAATTCTAAAGTTCCCAAGTCATGCAAAATAATAATAATAATTAAATAAACCATTAACCTTTAAAAAAGTAAATAAACCTTACATGAAGTCTTAGATTCTTGAGACAGGTAAGTAGTCGCAGGGGATTGAATGTCCATGGAGCTGATATTCCAATTGAAAGATCAATGCTTTTTCTATGAATACAATACAATGCCTGAAATTGACGAGTAATAACCAGAGATAACTTACCTCCCCTTCTGGCATGGGCTTCCTCTGGATTCTATTATGAAAAACATCACTGAGAATTATGATTCCACATGCTATTGACAATATCTAAGGATTCTAGTTTATGAGTATTTATAAAGTGTACTCCATGTAGTTAACTTTACAGAATTTTTATTTATTTTATTTTATTTTTGGAAAGAGGACATAATTTGTGATCTAATCTCCCAATAGTCTGATGTAATGTAGCATTGATTCAAAATGACACTATATCCCAACAAACAAAACTTCAGGACATGTTCATATCCCAATCATTTGCATGCTTTGTCAAATGGAAAATGACGGCAAAACACCCAGTTGTTGCACTTTCAAGTACATTTGATTTGATTGCTTGATCTAACTTATAAACTTAACATCGGTACTAAGAATAATGAAATGAATTAGGAATGCAGTTTCATATGGATAACAAAAATGGTGAGCAACAAAAGGACACTAACCTCCATCGCATCAAGTTCAGAACGATAAAGATGAAAACCATCCATAGGAATCACGATAGCAACATCAGGAGGTTGAACCTGAAAGTCCAACGAAGAAGATTTCTCTGGCCAAAGCTTGTTTACACGTCTAGCTACTTCATTTGCTAGAGTGCTTTTTCCAGCACCTGGAGGACCAGTCATGCCAACTAAAAGCCTGTGCAGTATCATTGAAATCATGATTAACATGAATATAAATGGAATAGCACACAAAAGGATGACATAATTATTAAACATTTAACAATATCATTCTAGTTCACCAACCTGGCAAAACAAGAAAAGAGAGATCTAACTACTTTATTTGTCTAAGTTCTTGATAGAATAAAAGATCTAATGTAGCAGACACATTTAATTAAAGAATAGAATATGTAACTGATAATCTAATGCAAAATGGCAAGTAGAAGGTCAGCAAAACAGCAATTTTGCACAAACTAACTGAAGCTTTCACAACAGCAGAATTTGATTCACTATAATGAAGCACAGTAAGAAAAATTACTCATGGCAACAAGATAAAGGTTAAGTTTAAGTAATAAATCATACCTATAGGCTATAATTATGGTAAACCTAGAATACTTTGGCAGAATGATACAGTGAATGGGACTGGCAACATAAACAAGAACTTACTTATAATTAGGATTTGATGACACTGATGCTGGAGGCAGAAGACGCTTAACCAATGTATCATATAACTCATCAACGCTACTGCAAAGCAATAGAAGTAACTAAATCAACACAACTAAAATCTTTAGACAATTCAAGTCATGGATTTTTCTAACATGGTAGACAAATTACAATGCTATTTTCAACTTGTTAACCTAGGTTTTTTTCCTGGGGAATAAACTGCCACGTAAGTTTCAGTACTAGCAGCTAAACATGCTTTTAGCTATGGCTCTTCGGGGACAAGAAAAGAAAGACACAGAATCAGTGTCTATCATTTACAGACACATTTCTAGCATATATAACATGAGAAAAGTTGGTTTCTATTTTCTGACAACATTTCCCTTAAAACAATTAGCAAAACTTGGCCATGAACATAATACGTTTGCTGCACCATACTCCACAAATGAACTTGACACTTATATCATATATTCATGTTAAATTTGAAATGGATGAAAGAAAAAGTACATGCAAATAGTAAAAAATACGTCAAAGTTAAGACACGAAAGACGGTATACCTTCCCTCCACCACACGAACATGTTCCTTTTCAGCAGATAAAACCTGGTAGAGCAAAAGAAGTTACCAAAACAGAATTAACAATGCATGCAGTGCCAACACTCTAATGAAAACTTGGTGTGCGATTGGAATGTTAAGCATGCAAATGAACTGTTGTTATGGAATGATGTGGATTTGATAAATCAATTCTCATTTACAAATCGATTTTGTGTTGTATTTCGAGGATTTCAAATGTCTAATTGATGCGTTCGAAACAAGAAAGATCTGAACCTTGAAGAGAGCACTGTTCCTAGTGCGATAGTCGGTTTGAGCAAATGAGAGCTGCACAAACTTGTTAGGCCGCGCGATGGACAGTGAAGACCGATTCAAATCGCGAGCCGCCACTCTTCTCTGCAACAAAGGTTCTGTGTGAAGGGAATTAGGAAGAAGAATTGAAGTAGTGTGTAATTACACACTAAGACGATCACGAAAGAGAGGAGGGATATTGTTGGTGATAGAATAATTTATAAAAAGAAATTCCATTGAGAAATCAAAACCGTGAAGATTACATACCTGCTGAAGCACATGCCTGATTCCGATATCCACTTGCCGTCGCGGGAGAGAATGTTACTTCCATCTACTCGATTTCAACCACCTTCAACCACGGAGACACTGCCATGAATGTTTTTGTTAACAGCGGTATTAGATATTATATATATTTTCAGTTTTACCTCATTGGCACAATGTCGTTGTAGTATAGTGGTAAGTATTCCCGCCTGTCACGCGGGTGACCCGGGTTCGATCCCCGGCAACGGCGATGTTTTACATTTTTTATTTAGTCATCAACTTCAAATGTTTTAGGGTGTGAGAATGAGCTAATTTGAATTGAAAAGTACATAAAAGATTAAAATCTGAACAATGATTACTTACTCCTTCACTGTTTCCAAAAAACTAGTGCGATTATGCTGTGATGATATAAAATAATATAGTCTTTATAAACAATAAAAAAATCAATCGCTTCTAAGTTTTTTATATATATATATTTTTATAAACTTGGAGGTATCTTCTTCAATATACTCGGGTTACCTTATTCTCATAGTACGGCCCTAAAGGCTACCTTCATATTGAAGCAACGAATATTAAGCTTTGTTACTGAAAAAAGGATGAGACTAATTCTCTCCTAAGGAGAGAGACACATCCTTTAAACCTCAAAGATTTTTCAAAAATTTATTTGATCAGTATTTGAACCCATGACCAAAACATATCATCGAAAGTTCAGTTCCCATCTGAGTTACCCTTGGAGGTTTAAATTTTTTATATTTAATATAATCAATTAATAAGATTATCATAAATGTTAAATAAAAATTAATATTAAAAGTAAAGGAAATTCTTACAATAGAAACTACTAATAGAAAAAAAATAAACATATCACTAGCACGTATCATAAAACTCTTATATGGTAGGAGAAAAAAAAAAGGATTTAATTTTCTCATACAGTAAAAAAAATTTCTCATGCTATAGACACATCTTATTTGAGATTCACATCTATTAAAAAAAAAATTACACGAAAATCAAAGGATCACTGATTGAAAAAAATAATTCTCTTATAAAGTGAGAAAATATTTTCCCTATTAAAAAAATAATGGGGATCATTTGATGTAAAAAATAATAATACACAAAAATTAAAATGTCTCGTATACGGGCATGGACGAACAGGGAATGGTCAGTAAAGATAAAGCATACGTATAAAGAGGGTAATTGTTGTCCAGATTGGCTATCAAACTTACCTTTGGCTAATCCGGCACTTGAGGACTTTTGTTCTTTTCTGTCTCCTCCTCCTAGTATTTTTTTTATTGTACTTAGCTGATTTAAGCTGATTTAGGAGGTACTAGTAGTATTCGTTGTATTTCTTGTGCTTAACCTATTTTGGGTCTTTTTCCCAACCAGGATACAAAAAAAAAAATTCTTACCTAAACAAACATAACAAAAATGCAACCAACTCTTCATTTACTTAACAAACATAACAAAAATGCAACCAACTCTTCCTTCAAATACAATGACAAACAATGTTCACAAACTCAAAATATACTACCTAAGACCAAAAAGGTAACACTAACATCCATTCAAAATTCTTACCTAAACAACAAAATTCAAACATACACACAAAGATACACACAAACCCCACCTTTTCCTCTCAAAAACAATTTTTCATTACTTTTCATACCAAAAGAAAGGGTTAGAAGAAAACCTTGTAGATATGAATCCCAAATTGCACTGTGCCATTGGCGAAGGGTTTCGAAGTTTCGCAGCCTTTAGATACAAATCCACGGCCTTCTGTTTCTGTCCCCTCTCCCTTCGAAGAATATACATGCAGACACGAACAAAAATACTTGCATGAGTTCATAGTTGATGATAAATGGAAAACCCCATTCTTGAAACAAAACCAAAAACAAAAATAAAAATCAGAACCTGAAAACAAAGGGTTTTGGGGAAGGTGATCGAAGATTGATCTGTCGACTAGAGATGGGTGGTTCGCGGCAGAGGGTTCGCAGCCGAAGTCGCCGTCGTCATTGTCGTCGAAATCGTGGATGTGTTCGTCTTCGTGTTCGTCTTCACCAGAAGAATAGGAGACAAGCTCACTGGGTCATTGAGTGAAGAAGATGGTTCGGGTTTGATGATTTCGAATACCCAATGTCTAGATGGTTCGGTTCAGTTCGAACCGGTTATTAATTGGTTCTGAATCGATTGATAACTGAATTTATTTTAAAACATTAAAACGGTTCTGGTTTGTGAACTGATTGGAAGAACTAGTTTTTTTTTTGTTTAATTTGGTGCGGTTCTCAATGCAATTCAGGTTCTTTGGATATTTTGCACATCCCTAGATGCAGTTCTCGCCTTCCACGTTCTAAGGCACTAATTGAATAGCCTAGCTTGAAAATTTATGACTTGTTGTTGGGCACCTAGTGGAGCTTGAGTGACAACATTTAAGATATCGGACATGTCTCCGTTAAAATCAGCCCCAATGGTTGCACAAGGATCAGTTCACAACCACGTTACACAGTCGTTTCTCAATTCTCCACTGCTTGTTTTCATCCTCACGTGACTGCACAATGAAACAAAATTACAAGCTTAGTCATGTTTAAAAAGATAAAATAGCCGAGTTTCAACTCCAAACTTGTACAACAATACAATGCATAACACGATTTATGAAATCTATGCAATTTTTAAATCCTTTCCCGAGATAACTTGCTACTAATATGCTTTCAACTTTTCCAAGTAAGACGCACATACAAAATAAAATAAAATAAAATGGAACACTAAAGCATGGGCGAAAATATTAGTATATTGTTACCGGGAATAACCTGTTTATAAATTTTTTTTTACAAACTTTTATAAATTACACTATGTATTTTCGGAAGTACATAGAATATAGTGTAACCTAGTGTACTTCAACAAGTACATAATGTAGTTGGTAAGAGTTTGTAAACAAAAAATTTGTAAATATAACCCTTCTCAATTGTTATTTAAATAACAAATTACAAAAACATAACAATTTGGAATCAATTTATGAATCATTACTCAGACACGCCAAAAATGGGAAAATATTTTGTATGGTCCAAGACCACCCAACAACTTGGTGCTCCCTCTCACAACTAATTTTTTCTTCCCCTTTTTATTCCTGTTATTTTTGCTCTTTTTCATTTTTACCCTTCTATTTATACTAAGAGACTACCCAAAAAATGGTGGTCCCTAAGCATAATAAAAGCTCTCCAAAAGTGGACGAGAGCCCAAAATGGGCAAGACCATTCGTGCCCAAAAAAAGCGCAAGATCCAAAACCATTCACGTGGTGACACGTACACAAAAAGTCAGTCATTTGAGGGGGTAAAAGAGTCTTTACCCACCCTATATATTTTGCTTTATATAAAACCAATTAAAAACACTCTCTCTCCTCACTTCCACCCTTCCATCGTAACTTTCTTTTCCCTTATAGCGAAATGACTCTTTTCTTTCTTCTCTTCTTGCTGATCAACCAAACCTTTAAGAGGAGTGATTCCATTCACCTTTTTTACTTCATCTTACATAATTACCAAGACCCAACCACCAAAGTATAGTCAAGTGCTGTCCATTTTGTTTTATTTGGCCTAATATGATAACCAACATAGAATATTCATTACTTATTCAATTCTCAACCGAATGAGGCATGTAAGGCATCAAATTACAGCTTATGATATCTACTTTCACGTACTAGAATATAAGAATTTTCAAGTTGTGATTCATTCATAGTTTTCAAAACAATAAACATTACCCAAGTTCGAATTCATGCTGCCAGGTTCTCACCAATTTTTGTAAAGGCAACATCTCATTTGTTCCTTAATCAACCGGGACATATTATATCATTTTAAAGCCCCAAAAATCTAGTTTCATGTATCTGAGTTTGAGAATTTTTGGGTAGCCAACGCGTTCCCAGTTTGGTGAGAAACCGAAGTTGCCATAAACCCTGCTTTGCTGGTTATCAAGAATTTAACAACCTTTTTGAAAGAATCATAACTCTTTCAATTCTTACCCAAATACAGCAAATAAGGTGTCATATGGAAGCTCTAAATGTCTAGTTTTATGTGTTAAAATATCAAGACTAAAAGAGCTAAGATCAGTATGCATTTAGATTAGACTATGAGCTGCAAGAGTTGTATTTATGCTATTTATTGTATAATATTGATAATTGGGTTGACTGTTTGAGCTAGAGAGTTCCGAATTGAGTGAGACTTGAAATCATGTGAAGCTACTTAAAGATTTTTAATCCTAAAAAAAAAGATTAGTCATATTTCATAAAGGGAATAATTGACTAAGTTACAAATATAAGTAACAAAGTAAGATAATATCATTATTGATTCAGAATTATTAATGTTGCGATAATGAGATAATACACTGGGTGTACCTAGGGTGTTACACTTAGTCCATAAAAATATTCCACTACGATTAGGATCACAATAAACAAACTTCCATAGTATCACTAGAGATTTACACTCAAACTTCACTATAGTGGAGGCAATTAAAGTTCTTCTCCAAATAAGTCACTCACTCAAAATTCTCTTTAGAAATTTTTCACACCAGCTAAGTTAACCTTTTACTAAGCTTTTCATTTTTTTATATAGATGAGGTGAAACCCTTCACCTCTTCTTAGATTCTTCTTCAATTATGAGGTAGGTAGTAATTATGGGGTGGTTATTCAAATATTGAATCATGCACCAATAAATACAGTACGTACTCAACTACCAAAGAAGAATTAAGGAGAAACACACCCCAATACCAATATTATTCTCTAACAATTTTGACGTTGCCACGAGTTTGATTGTAGGCTAATCTGATTTGTCTTAGTGTTTTCTTGTTAAATTTATGTTAATGATACGAGTAAGAGAGCAAAGCGCATGAAGAAAGACCCATTGTAGTTACGTGACTATTGTAGAATGTAGTGTAATCTGAATATGTGACACCTGTTACGCCTTGGAATAGGAAGTGTAACTGATGTGTAAAGCTAGCAGAATAGCAAAGTAGTGATGTGTATTGTATAAATAGATGTAACTGAATTGGGGGCGATAATAATAAAATGTTTTTCTTGATTCCTTTCTCTCTTGAGAGTGTATCTCTATTATCTGGTGCTTTCATTGAGAGTTGAACTCAATGAAAGATACACTCTCAAAGAGTGTATCTCTATCATTTGTATAAAGAGTTGAACTTGTCTCGAGCTCAGAATCGTATGAAAGTTCAGGCAGATCAACACTGTCGTGACCGGCAATTGAAGGTGAGTGACTTAGTTATTGTAAAGCTGCAACCATATCGCCAAATTTCAGTGCTGAAACGCTCTAATCACAAATTAGCTAAACGTTATTTTGGGTCATTTCCAGTGCATCGAGTCACAGTCCCGTAGCTTATCAAATGGAACTTCCAGCAGGCTCCCAAATCCACCCCACCTTCCACATTTCAGCTCTCAAACCATTTTGTGCTTCATCCCAGTTTCACTATGATAGCCTTCCCTTACAGGCTATATACAACAAACCCGTGCAGCAACCATTAGCCATTTTGGCATCTTGCACTATTTCTTCTAGAGGACATCCGCAACAACACTTTCTGGTGCAATGGTCCCAATCTGTTCCAGAGGATGCCACCTGGGAGTCTGCTGTTAACCTACGCAAAGCCTATCCCTAGACCTTGCGAACAAGGTCTCTTTAGACTAGGGGCAGTTGATACGAGTAAGAGAGCAAAGCGCGTGAAGAAGGACCCATTGTGGTTACGTGACTATTGTAGAATGTAGTGTAATCTGAATATGTGACACGTGTTAGGACTTGGAATATAAAGTGTAACTAATGTGTAAAGCTAGCAGAATAGCAAAGTAGTGATGTGTACTGTATAAAGAGATGTAACTGAATTGGGGGCGATAATAATAAAACGTTTTCTTGATTCTTTTCTCTCTTGAGAGTGTATCTATATCAGTTAATGATTGGTGTAGGAAATTGAATATTTAATTGTCTGTGTTTATTCGTATTTACGAGTCGTTTAAAATATGTTTTTCATGTTGTATGAGATATTTGTCTTATGCATACACAAAAAATGAGTGGGATCGATTCACTTTTTTTTTTCTTAGTAGATCTCACTCATTTTTTTATTTGTTGTATGAGATAAAATTATTTCATACAACATTATAAACATATTCCCTTTCAAATAATATGGTGAATGGAAATGAAAAATGAAACTCCGTATTGTTGTAGTTTCACTCATGTTATATATGACTTAGAATTGGTTCGTGCAATGTTTCCTTTTGTCGTGTCCATGTTGATTACTTTTTCATTGCCCATATAAATCATCCCACACTCGATTTGATGGTTAGGAAGTAGGGGTGTGCAAAAAAACTGGTTCACTTGTCCTATCCTTGATCTGACCTTGACTTGACCCATAAATACCTATTTTTTTGAACTGGGTTTAAATACTGACCAACTTTTATTTGGGTCAATTTTAGACCTGACTTGTTTTATTAATGACTCATTGACCCAAAACTTGACCCATACCCATTATGTGAAAAAAATCACAATTACATTAAAAGAAAATTTTTAACGTAAAACAATTACGTCAAAATTTTTTACGAAAAATATTTCCATCAAAATGTTTCGTAAAAATTTTTGACGAAAAATATTTTCATCAAAATTTGTGACTAAAAATATTATTGTAAGAAAATTTGACGGAAAATTTTTTTTGTCAAATATTTTTACGGAATCTAAATTTCGTCAAAATAATTCACAAAAAAACATATTCATCCAAAATTTCGACGAAACATATTTCGATCGAATTTTTTTGACAGAAAAAATTTCATCAAAATTATTTACAGAATTCAAATTTCGGCGAAAGTTTTCGACGGAAACATTTTCGTTAAACTTTTTGACAAAAAAAAAATTCGTTGAAATTTTTTGCGAAACACATTTCCATCGAAAATTTTCGACTAAATATTTTCGTCAAGTTTTTTGATAAAAAATATTTCTATCAAAAATTTCAACGGAATACATTTCTGTCAAAAAATTTCGTAAAAATTTTCGACAAAAAATATTTCGATAAAAAAATTTGACGAAAAAAATATTCTGTCAAAATTCTTTAGAGAATCTAAATTTTGTCGAAAGTTTCGAATGAAACATTTTCCTCAAAATAATTTGCGTCGAAATTTTCGTGAGAACAAATTCCTATCGAAATTTTGAACGAAAAATATTCCGTTAAAATTTTTGACGGAATTCTTTTTTCGTTTAAAACATTTAATGAAGGAAATCATTTATGTCAAAACTTTTGACGGAAACTAAATTTCGATAGAAAATTTATTTTTGTAAAAATTTTAATTAGAGAAAAAATTTCGTCGCTTTTCGACAAAAAGTATTCGGACGAAAAATTAATTTTGTGACGAAATTTTCGTCGTTTGCAACGCAGAAATTTCGACGAAATTTTGTTACGAAACCAAGTCAAAAACGGGTCAGGTCGGATTTGACCCACTTAAGAAACCAAGTCAGACTCACTTCAGAAACCACTTCAGGTCAGATCCGACCCGATTCTGAACTAGTTCAAAAAAATCCAAACAAGTCAGACTTGACTTGGATCATATTAAAGCGGGTCGAGTCAAAATACCTGACCTATAAAAATCAAGTTGGGTCGAATCAGCACCAAAGCCTGACTCGACCTGACCCATACACATCCCTACTAGGAAGTCCATGTCTTTGTGAAGTGTGGTCCCTCTGTGACTGTCCCGTTCCATACCACGTGTGGAACTAAAACATTATGAGGAAGAGGACAATATCAAAGATGAACGAATAAAATTTTTTATAGACGAGAGCTTATTTTTATTTTTATTTATTACGTTTTCTTCATTTTTTATATTTTATTTTTTGAAATTTATGGGATCGAATGATTTGTGACTACGATGCTTCCATGAAAATATCAGGTTAAGTAGTTATAGACACACACCACGCGATCCACGTGCCAATATTATATTATTATTATACAAGTTCCATAACATGCAATGGTCCTGATGACAGCTATATCTAATTTTGTCATATTGCATTTGACGTCAATCATCGCAACGATAATATGAAATATTGCACACATTTTTTAGCGAAATTAATTTTTTTTTAATTATTATATTTGTTTAAAGTTTTAGCTTATTTTGATTTCCAACTAACTGCAAGTTCCTGTAATTTTCAAATGCGATACGAAGGAAGTAAATTTCTTCACGTGAGAATTTTATATAATAATTATGTAAAAATACTATATTTATCTTCTTCTTTATTATAAATATTAAACAAATAAAACTTCACCAACATTTGTGAAAGTTTCTATAAAGTAAAATTTACGTGGGACGATTTCTGCTTTTATTCCTATACTTCAACGAGAATGCAACTGTCAATATTCAAAGGAGTTTTACATTGATTTGATAATAGATTAATTAAGTAAAAATAATATAAATAGAAAAATCTATAAACTTTTCAAGTGAAGCATGCATTGACTTTAATTTTTATTTTTATTTTTGTAAAAGGAAAACATCCGCGTCCACCGTCCATCTAAAATTTCAAAATTCACGGGTCCACCACTGAATTCATAAAAAAAGTAAGATAATGTCTTCTCCAAATTAAAGTAAATTTATTTTTTATTTAATTTAAATATAGAGTAAACACCTTTTTTAGTCCCTGACAATATCTACGAAATCATTTTTAGTCCCTAGCAATAAAAAAGGACCAAATTGGTCCCTAACAGTATGCAAAAAGGGCCACATTAGTGACGGATGAGTTGACATAAGGACTAATGTGACCATTTTTTCATAATTTTAGGGACCAATTTGGTCTTTTTTTATTGCCAGAGACTAAAAAGGATTTCGTAGATATTGCCAGGGACCAAAAATGGTGTTTACTTTTAAATATATTACCATCTGAATCCATTAAAATATAAGAAAAAAACTTTTGTTATAAATAGAGTGTATTGCCGAGCACAACATATCCTTTCTCAGTCACTTGGTCATTTGAGTAAGCTTATAGAAGCTTGGCTCCAACATTTCCACTCCAATGGCCACATCAATCTCAAACATACTATTTGCCTTACCCATAACCCAACGAAAATCTACCTCAAGATTCAATCACTCCAAATTGCAATTGCAAGCAACACCGTTATCTCCAACAACAACAACAACAACATGCAACGCCTCCCAAACCCAAAACAACTCTTCCTTGTCCTCCACAATCACACGCCTCGAACAACAAGAAGTTACAAAACAAAAACCAAATCAACCAACAGTCTCAGATGTGTGGCGTAAGATCCCCGGCGAAGACAATTGGGCCGGGCTTCTTGACCCAATGGACCCTCGAATGCGTTCGGAGCTGATCCGCTACGGCGACATGACCCAAGCCTGTTACGACGCTTTCGATTTCGACCCTTACTCCAAATACTGCGGTAGCTGCAGGTTCCCAATCGACAAATTCTTCGAATCCTTAAACCTAACCCACCTTGGCTACACCGTCACGCGCTACCTCTACTCGACCGCGAACGTGAACCTCCCAAACTTCTTCAAAAAATCACGGTGGCCCCACAAGATGTGGAGCAAGCACGCCAATTGGGCAGGCTACGTGGCAGTCTCAGACGACGCAACCACAAAGCGCGTCGGCCGCAGGGACATAACGGTTTCATGGAGAGGAACCGTCACGCACGTGGAATGGGTGGCCGACCTCATGAATTTCCTCAAACCCATTTCACCCGACATCCCCTGTCCCGACAAAGAAGTTAAGGTGGAAGCGGGTTTCTTGGACATATACACCGACAAGGTTAAGGACAATAGTTGCGGTTACTGCAAATACTCGGCGAGGGAACAGGTACTCGCGGAGGTGAAGCGGTTGGTTGAGATGTACCCTAATGAGGAACTCAGTGTCACCATAACAGGGCACAGCTTGGGGAGTGCCATGGCTATTTTGAGCGCGTTTGATATAGTGGAAACTGGGTTGAACGTGACCAAGGATGGACGTGGAGTGCATGTTTCTGTGTTTTCATTCTCGGGGCCGAGGGTTGGGAATTTGAGGTTCAAGGAGAGGTTGGAATCGAAGTTGGGGGTGAAGGTGTTGAGGGTTCATAACGCTCATGACATGGTGGCGAAGTCGCCGGGGATATTTTTCAATGAGAATTCGCCGGCGTGGGTGCTGAAGCTGATGGAGGGGTTACCGTGGTGTTATATGCATGTTGGCGTAGAGTTGGAATTGGACCATAAAAAATCGCCGTATCTGAATCCCAATGGAGATGGTGCATGTGCCCATAACTTGGAGGCTCACTTGCATCTTCTTGACGGGTCAGTGTTGTTACTGTTCAATGAATCAGTAATTATAAAACACGAATCTTCACTAGTTTTTGAATTTTAATGATAATTATAAAAAAACACGAATCTACACTAATTTTGCATGGAATATGTTACCTACTTAATTTTTATTTATCGATAGGTTAGAATCTCAATTAATTTTTATTGTTTTTTCCTTTTCTTTTAATTTGATATAAAATTGTATTAAAAAAAGGAAAAAAATGTTTGTCATCTTAAATAATTTAAAGATATGTCATTTTAAGATAGAGACAGATACATAATTTTTTTTTTAAATTAAAAAATCACTTACTTTCTATTTCTTATAATTTTTGTTTTGCTGTGTCTATCTCTTTTCTAAAATGACATAACTCATCTAGAATGACAAACACCAAACTTATAAAAAAAATAGCTAAGTAGAATAATATATCTCATTTTTCATCAAAATAAATTTTTTCATATATTTGAAATTTATCGTTATTTTAACGAATTTTAAGTTTTTTCTTTAAATATCTTATCTGATGGATGGATTGAGGGGACAAGCTGGGCCATCCCCTTAAAAGTGAAAAAAAAAACAAATTTTCATCTTTCCATAAATGAGAAAAAGATAAGGACCAAAAAGTGGGGGGTGCGAAATTCACTCGATCAGAGTTTTAGGAGTTGAAGCTATGAGATTTTTTGCTGTATTATATGTTTTGATGATGTGCAGATACCATGGGAGGAATCGTGAATTTGAGGTAACGAGTGGGAGGGACATTGCTCTGGTGAACAAGGACTGTGACTTTCTGAAAGATGAGCACACGGTGCCACCACGGTGGAGGCAAGATTTAAATAAGGGCATGATCATGACCGAAGATGGACGGTGGGTGTTAGCTGAGCGCCCAAAACTTGTGGATCACCCTGAAGATATTGATCACCATCTCAAGCAACTTGGCCTCGCTTCATCAGATATATAATTGAATGGATATATATACTGCAGTTTTGGGAGATAATTTTGTGCTTTGCTAATATGGACGTTAACGTGTCGAGCTGAGCTTTGGTCTTCAAAGATTAAGTTTGTGTTTAAATGTGTTAGCCTGATTAAGCCTGTTACATATTATAAATAAAATTATCGGACTGGGTGTGTCTGACTTATTTACAAAAAAATAAAAGCTTGGTTTAGCCTGTTTAAAAAAAATAAGACAATAAAAATTTATCCTAACAGAATATACAATCCACAACATTAGTAATTTCATACATATTCATAAATTCAATGTATATACAAGCAGCATAATATAGAACAAAATAATTCAAAAAGTCTGTTTAACCGATAAAATGAGGTGAAATGGATTGAGAAGAAAGAGATGGTTATTACAAGTAGTATAAAAAATATAAAATATAAATAAAAAATAATATATTAGATCAGCCTGAGAAAGGCCGAACTTTTGAATTGGAACCTGAGACCTTTTTATTAAACGAACTTTTATACAAGTTTAAGTCTGGTGCTAACAACCAATTTTAGACATGTAAGCTCAGGTCTTCACGATCCGAGCCAAAGACTCCTGGGTTCGTTTAGCACCCCTATTTGCTGCCACAAAATCTTTTTTTTTTTTTTTTTTTTTTTTTTAAATAAGGAAAATCAATTAAGACATAATACAAAGTCTAGGCCATCAAATCCCTACTTAAAAGATTTTTACATTCCAGAGGTGGATCCTAAAGAATATGTATATCCCAGTCATCCCAAATACTGCCATGGTTTGTAAGATAGTCGGCTACCATGTTTCCTTTCCTGTACGTATGGCTGAGCTTAGTCGATTACCACGAAATATTTGGTAGTCTCGTGCTGTATTACTTCTTTATTATAAACTAAAAATAAATAGGACTATGTATAAAGGGAAAAATATTTGTCTTTGTAAATGACATAATTTGTATCATTTTACTCTCACAAGTGGAACTCACACTTTTATATTTTTTTGTCCACTCTTTCTCCTCTTTTATCTATCTCTTTCTCTCACTTAAAATGACACAACTTTAAATACTTTAAAATGATACACATTTTTCCCATAAAATAAATAAGACTTGTCTATAAAGTAAGGGAAAAGTTTTTATCCTTTTAAATGACACAACTTATATCCTTTCACTCTCACAAAGAAGTGGGACCCATATCTTTATTTTTTTGTCAACTCTCTCTCCTCCTTTATCTATTTCTTTCTCTCTCTTAAAATGACACAACTTTACATCTTTTAAAATGACACACACTTTATCCATAAAGTAATGATGCAATAAATACGTTTGGGTTAGTGGAATTGCTTTCTCATACTGACTTAATTACTAGTAGGCCCCATGTTTATTATAAAACAAAAAATTACATAGAAATCGAATTATCACAGCATAAAAAAATACTTGTATAATATGAAAACTGTCTTTTTCCTTTTTCTAATCGTAATAGGTGATACACTGAATGCACAAACAGTAGTACTGAAAATATTTTTCGGTATGGCGAAGCAGAAGCAAGTTGGATCTTCTCTATCTTCCCCTGTGGAAGTGAGTATGCTGCTAGGGATAAACTAATTCGCATAACATTATAGCAGATGAACAAGTAATTCAACGAGACGCTTCTACATATCCCTTTCTTCATCGCCAAGAACTTGAAAAAGTTTTTAGAGGACATAATGAAAATGTTTTAAAAGGCATTAAAAAATGGGTGCTGTTCCTTGATAAGTACGCAACTATTTTTTTTTTTTTTTGATAACAAGTACGCAACTTATTTTTTATTTGTTTCAAAGATATTTATTTATTAAACACAAATAAAAAACGTTAAAAAATCAATATTAAAAGGCACATGCAACGCACTTGGGAGATGTAAACGCTCAATGCTATCTAAGTTAAACTGAAATTATAAAAAAAAAAATATTAAATGATATCTAATAATTTAAACTTCAAAGTAACATAGTTGTTAACATTAAAATAATATGATCCATGGCCGCTGATATGTAAACGGAAATATTTAATTGAATATTTCATATGAACTTAATTCATATAAAATAAATGAATAAATAAAATAAAAATAAAATAGAAGCAAATATGCACTTCCTTTTTTTTTACTTTAGTAAATAATAATATGCACTTTCACAGAATGACACTCTCTAGTTCGAGAACATCTTCCATACAACTGTAGTAGGTAACTCTTCCATTGAACAACTGACATTTGGATAAAAAAACATTTCTCTCTCCTATGTGTACAAATATCACAGTTATTTATGAATTTTTATTGGCTGGTAGTACCAAACAAATGAAACAAATGATGCTACAGGAGTATATTAGATATTTTCGTTGGAGAACATCTAGACTGTCAGAAACTGAAATTAAATATCAACTTATAATTTCACATGTCATACTAGGACATAGCTAACATAATTATTCGATTTTAATGATGATGTAGTGTACTAAAGAGTGAGAACATAAGCAGAAGGAAGAAATAAAACTAAATTATAGTCACTAATATGTACTTAAAACACACACGAAATCAAGTATACATTAAAAAAAAAAAAATTAGAAAATAGCAGCAGACCTCATTCAAAAGCACATGAAATTAAATATAAATAGAAAAAAGTTGAAAATAGCAGAACGCTCATGTCAATAAAAATGACCAAATGGCTAGTTTTTTTTTTTTTTAATAAAACAAAATAAAATATCCAATAATAATAAATAAAAGAAACTTGTTAATAACAAAATGTAGCGTATCAGTTGAACTCTCCAATATTCACATCATAGTAAGAAAATCCAACACCATGTCATTGTGAAGGAACGACGAGCTATGACCACAGCAAGAAGCTGACGACGACACCAACGAGCAAGGAGAAGGTAATAAGGATAAATTTCCTATTAAAATGATAAAAATACAATTTAGTGCCATTCCTTACCCTCCAATTTGGAGGAGAAAAAGGGCAGAGATATGGGATGGAGAGATAGAATAGATTCCATCATTCCATTCCTATCCTTTTTAAAACAATCTAAATAATGACAATTTATGCTATTTCATTTCATTCCCCTGCGTTCCATCTCCTTCTATCAATCCAACCATAGCCTTAAGCACCAGCTGGTTTCCTTAAGTATAACAATTGGGTTAATAATGTGAAGTCCCTGCTCCAGTTTTTACCTCAGAATCTGTTTTTCCCTGTAATAAATCAAACAGAACAACCATTACCCAAATATAAATTTATTATACAGATTTGCTTCGACAATAGCAGAGTGACTTGCATTATGAATAATTCATAATATGGTTAATTTGAATTAATCTGGAGTCTAGAGGGCTCAACCGACAGGGTTGCAGTGTTTTTATTTATTTCATTTTTCATTTTTTGGGGTAACTCTAGTCTCGTCTAGCAAAGTATTCAGTTAGAAGTCCAGTATACAAGACATCATCTTACACAAGATGAGAATTGAGAACCAAAGACACAAGCTGGGAGTCCTTGACTGACCTCAGAAGGATGGCTCTTTCGAATCTTCCTAGTGGGAGTCCTCATGGTGACAAATTCCTCAGCTGCAGTTGGGTGAATGCCCACGGTGGCATCAAAGTCTGCCTTAGTCAAACCAGCTTTAATAGCAACAGCAAATCCCTGGTTATCAAGCAATTGTATAACTAAGTGAGTTGACATCTCACTGATCATTATCAACAGATATTTAGAAAGAGTTGTAACAACTACAAGAACCTGCACAATTTCAGGCGAATCTTCTCCACATACGTGCAATCCCAGAACTTTATTTGTTTTTGCACAAACTACTAATTTCATAAAAACCCGGTCCGGTAAACCAGACAGTGTAGCCTTTAGTGGCCTAAAATTTGCTGAGAAGATGTCAACATCACCATACTGTTCTACAGCCTGTGCAAACCATCAAAATGTAATGCATAGCATTAATACGCACAGGTCAATAAAATATTTGGAAGATCATTCATCTCAATGGGTTCAGACATGCCATAGTTCTGTCACCTGTTCCTCTGTAAGACCAACTTGTCCAATTGGTGGCTGGGAAAAAACAGCAGAAGGAACAGCTCTAGAAAAGGAGGAACATAAAATAATTCAGCTAGGAGGCCATGACTTACCAAAAAAAAAAGATTTACCTATATGCTAGCGTCCAACATTACATGCACAGTGGGGAATTTGAGTGATCAGCTTAACATTAGAAGGAAAAATGAAACAGAAAGCTAAAAGCCTAAAACATAATAATATTAATGCTAATATGTATGAAATTTGTCATGTTAGCAATCTATTATTTATTTTTTTCATTTTTCCACTTCTTACGAAATATCGAGCTCTGTTCTAAATTTTAACAAATATGTTAAAGAAATTCAACATAGAACCACTATTTTAAAGAAAAATTTGGTTTCATAAATTCTCATATTAATATTAACATGAGCATCAAGCATTGACATTAGTATAAATCAAAAACAATTTTACCCTAATGAATTGCTCACAAAATCAATCCATCATTGATCATCATGCTAATTGAAATCAAAGTTAATCTAAGACTATTTTGTAATTAATGTAAATTAACTAACAAAATACTTTTCAAACCAAAAACAAATATCAACTATTTATTTAAATATTTTTTATTCTGAAATTTTTTAACACTTGGCATGCAAGATCAGCATGATATTTATGCACAATTTTATGGTCGGATTTATAGTAATAATTTTTTATAAGCATTAAGAAGTCATTTAAGATATAAGTGTGCCAAGTCTCATTGATGCTGCCACTACAAATGTAACAAAAATGAGCATTTAAGGTCAAATATAACACATACAGTATTTTTTTAATTGGCAGTACAGCTTTGTTACGATATATTAGTGAAGGTTGTAGACTGAGAATATAGATTCTTTTAAATGATCAAACTGGGACAAAGTTTCAATAATTGTCTAGATGATTTGAGTAGGGAAAAGCAAAAATGCAACAGGTCAAAAGTTAGATATTTACAAACTTAACTTCCCCCTCCCCTGTTTTCAATCATTTTACCAATTGACTATCAATGATTTTCAGTATAAGAATCTAATGCTATGCACTGAACTTACAACGTACACTCAAATCATTTTACAGTTAAGACTATAGGACGATGCATAATGCAACAAATACCTATAATCAGGTTTTGCTGGCTCATTCAGAAACAGCGTTTTTGCTAATGCTGCGCCCTCCATCAAAGCAACTGGAGTGAGATTTAACCTATCTGTAACATCTCCAACTGCCCAAATTGAAGGAACCGATGTTTGGGAGTATTCATCAACCTGAATAAAATGGGAGTATTAAGAAGCAGAAGAGTGAGAGTGACTGATCATGTGGATAAATATTCCATGGAAAACCAAAGAAAAGTGTGAACTACCTCTATAGCACCTGTTTTAGCCGTAGTCACTCCAACAGACTCCAGCCCTAAATTCTGCAATGAAGTTGCAGTTTATAAATAAATCTACTATGTTCTCTCTTTCTATTGGATGCATAAAATAGAAAATAAAGTGGCACAGGCAAAATGGAACTAAGAAACTTCAAGGACAAACCCTTAAGAAAACCAAGGCAACTAAGAAGTGTGTGTAATACACTGGAGCTTAAGTTCCAAATCTTCGATGAATATTAAAATTACCATTCAGCACCAAATTGTCATGAAGATTGAACTGAATTTATAATGTTTGAAAGGACTTATATTTTAAGTGTTGAACGTGTGATAAAGGAAATTATTGGCATTTAATAGAATAAAACGCTATACTTTCTATGCTGAAAATTTTCATTTTCAGCACTGATTATTGAATTTTCAAACATACTAGCACAGAAAAATAAAAATACTTAATTAAAAAATCCACACCTTGGTATTAGGTCTGCGTCCTGTTGCAAACATAATGTGTGAGAAACCATCAACTGTACCCTTGTTGGTCTTCAAAGACAATGATCCATCAGCTGACTTCACGATGGCTTGAGGAGATTCCTCAGTATGGAATTCAATACCTCTAAGAGACATCTGTTCTGCAACAAAATCCCTAATCTGCAAACATAGTTCACAATTTGAAAGTGAAGGGAGCTTATCATGTGCAATCCATTGAAATACTAGTACAACCCATGGTTGTTTACCTCTTCATCAAATCCCCTCAAAACCTTTTTTTGTCTTATAAATACATGAACCTCGCTTTTCAAACCATTGAAGATACCAGCAAACTCCAAGGCAATGTAACTACCACCAACAATAGCTATTTTCTCAGGCTTTGAAGGCAAATCAAGGGCAGCATCTGAATCTATCACATACTCCCTTCCAGGAATATCAGGAATAAAGGGGCGACCCCCAACAGAAATTAAAATGTGTTTTGCTGAATATAGCTTTCCATTAACATCAACTTCGTGAGGACCTACAATCTATGTGTTACAAAAGCATCATCACCATAAATTAAAAGACAAACATACTTTATCACTTATAATCAGAAAGCTCTTTAACACTAAGAGATGGATAATTGGATCCAATCTCCCCCACCTTTCCACGGCCTTCAATGAATTTGATATCAGCATTATTCAGAACATTCTTATAGATAGCATTAAGACGCTGCAACTCAGCATTCTTATTAGCCATCAAAGTACTCCAATCATGCCTGGGTTCACTGTCATATCTCCATCCAAAACCGTTACTCTCTTCAAATTCATGAGAGTATTTTGATGAGTACACTAGCAACTTCTTCGGCACGCATCCACGTAGCACACAGCTACATTGGAGAATATCACAAACACATAATCAAAAGATTAATCGCTCGAAAACTAAATGAACTAAATGAAAACTCAAGTCAAATTAGTTGATGAAGCTAAAGTGTGATGAGAACTCACGTTCCGCCGACCCCACCGGTGGTTTCGGAGGAGATGGTGGAGAAAGGGAGCTCGCAGATAGCGACTGAAGCGCCGTAATTGGCGGCGAAACGAGAGGCGCGGACGCCGCCGCTTCCGGCGCCGATAGTGAAGAGGTCGAAGTCGTAATTTTGGGAGGCGCGGACGGTGAAGGCACGGTGGCGGTGGAAACCGGAGGGAGAGAGTAGGGTTTTGGGGAGAGAAAGTGGAAGAAAGGTTTTGGAGAAAAGCGTTTGTAGAGGGTTTTGGGTACCCATTCTCATTGCTCTTTTTCTTTACTTCTTCTTCTTCTTCTTTTTCTTCTACTTCCCTAACTATAGATTTTGATTCTTTGATCCTTTTAATTAAGAAAATAAAACAACCATAATTGTTTATCAAATCTCTGTCTTTTCTTTTTCAATATGTTTTGGTTAAATTATTATTCATAATCACACAATCAGTGGCTTAAGTAAAGTATAACTGCAATATAAAGAATCGAGCTTACGAGTATACATTTGTAGGAGGAGTTTGAGTAAGTCGCGTGTTGTATTGTTGCCTGATGATAGTTTAGTTTTATAAAATTATTCTCGGTAATCATTCCTTTCTTTTATCTTTAAATTCGGTAATTTACTTTTATCTTTAAATTACGATTACTATTTTATTGAGTTTAATATAAATATTTAAAATATCTTATGTTTCTTTGTAAAATTAATGCTATTATAAGTTTAGCTTTATTTTTTTGTTAAATTATTGAATATTAAATATAATATACACTACATAAATTAAAAGTATTATATAATATCAAAGCGTGTCCTAAACAGTGTTTAAAAATCCGGCACAGTCATCGACCCGGCCGAGGTCAGGGGTCACAGGATCATGCACCCGGAAAGTCACGGGATCACTACGCTGACGTGGTTTTATATATTAAAAAAATATAAATATATATATCTTATATGAAAATATTAAAAAACAAACCAACAATCATCAATTACAATCAAAAGTCAATATTACACAATCTAATTAAAATATCAAGATACCAAAGTACAAAACTCATATTCTAATTGGGTCATTATGCTGACCCGGTTCTGCCTCTTTTGAGAAGATCCGTGACAAAGGAAAATTTAAAGGAAGTAAGAATGAAATTTTGTTTTCCATCGACGATCGTAAGGTTTTCATTTGAATAGATAAAATTCTTACCTTTTCTAGAAGATTAACGGCAACGAGGTGAAAATTGAAAACATCTAGGTCGCTGGGAGAGAAGAGAAAGCATTTTTATTTTTATTTTTTTAATAAAACGATGTTTGTGGAATTTAAAAAAAAAAAAAACATGCAGTGACCCCCTTTGATCCCTCTGACGTGGGAGTCACTGAAATTCGGCCGGATTTTAGGGGTCGATATGCATATAGGATCTAACTTGTGTCCCCAACCCTCAGAGGGGAGGGGTCAGGGTTGACCCGGGTCAATCCGGGGGTGGGGTGGGATTTCAAAACACTGGTCCTAACATGTCAAAATTTAACATTTTTTAGAATTATCGTGTTGGAGTATCGTGTCGTGTCGTGTCGTATCTCGTGTCCCGTATCGGTGCAACACACATTCGCGCATTTCATCTCATTTTAAAAAAATTATCATTATTAATTACTTATTTATTTATTTTCAAACATAAATAATAGAAAAAGATAAAGCTTAAAATATTTTATTATTTTATTGAAATATTTAAATGAATACAAAAAAATTAAATATATTTCATTACTCATTTAAGAATTTAAAGATATCTCGAAAATATAAACTTTTAAACAATTTGATTCTTTAATTATAGTCGTCTTCAAATATTTATTAATTTCTTATTACATAATTATAATTATTTTAAAATATTAATATTATAATTATTATATCTTGTCAAAAATATAAAAAAGTACAAATTAATAGGCATGAAGAATCTAAGTTTAGGAATGAAGTGCTCATCAATATGATGGTATTTAATAATATAAAAACTTAAAATAAACATTTATTTTAATCCTTTATAGATATGCATATCATATAAGTTCAATTTTTTTTTAAATTTTAATGCTATTGCATCTAGATTTTGTTCTTTTTTTTTTATCATTTTACTAGAAGGTAAGTGACTAATATACAAAAATACAAATCGAGGTTTGAAGGCGAGAATATCTCCTTATCCTTTATTTTCATATTCATAAATTCCTCCCAAGACCACATGCTTAAATTAAGAATATAAATCTCTTTCACTTGGACCAATATATGTTAATATTTATGAAGGCATTTTGATAGTCAAGCTTAGTTATAACAGGAAACTATTCTACATATTATCATGATTACTTAGAAGTTATGTTTACTCGTTTCGCCAATACAAAACAATGATAGTGTTGTGGCTTATGCATAGTAGTTTAAGAAAGATAATGGACCTTCTGACCAAAGTTGCAGCCAATCCATGGCTAGATTAATGGAAGTACAGTGATGATTATTTGGAAGACATAACACATTTCCTTCATTAAGTGTTTCCACCATTTACTCATTTTGTTATCAGTTATCATATTCGTCTAAACATGATCCTTCTACTCGTGCAATTTCCACTTCCAGGGCTAGAATTCCATACACTATGTGTTAGAGTAACAGATTAAACAAATAACCAAAATAAGCAAATAAAGAATAAGCGATGTGATAGTTCCAGATAAAGACAGAACTTGGAGCAAATGGAGCAAAATAGACAAGAAATTTGTTAATACAAGAGAAAAGGATTGAACTTGTTTGCAATTTCTACAATACATCAGTTGGGATTTAGAGGAACAATCCAGACTCTTAATCCTCTTGAAGCCCAGAAGTGTAGACAAAATAGAGAGCCCAAGTAAGACTGAAAACACCGAACAGGATCCAACCAAGAAGGTTGTTGCTAAGCCCAAATGGAAACCCTGTTCCTTCAGTGCTCAGTCTATCATCCACCAAAGCCATGGCTGGGCTTGACATGGTTGCAGCATAGGCAGCTGCTACCACCAAGGATGCCCCCATCCCTATGTTTGAGCTGGTTTCCTCCACTGAGGTTTTTCTCTCCATGGAACATCTCACTCTTCCCATCTTAGCCTTTGCTGGCAATCCTATAGAATTTTGTTTGCAATAACTCCAAGATGGTTGTCATTTTTCTTCAGTAACAATTCAGAGTATGGCTAGGCAACTTCTGTCCGGTTTACTTCATACACATTGACAAAGATGTCAAAATTATGATTATTATTGTTGATGCATTGTCACTCTGTGCACCACACATCATGGATAAATTGAAAACCCGTCGTTAGGTATCCATATCGGCAAAAACCCAATAGATTTTCTCCACGTGTTATATAATCTTTTTGATGTCCCATATTTCACTCCTACAATCGAAGCTTCACTCACCCTACCACTATTCTAACCAGTAACAACGAGGGAACTAAATACCAGAATATTATCATTTAGGCCCTGATAGTCGATATTATATTCTTCACGAATAGTAACAGATTATATTATATTTAAGTCATAAAAGAGTCCATTACACGAAATAATACTTGTTTCTCATGCAACGGGAAAAACGAGCACAAGGCATCAATGACACTACAATTCAAATGGCAGCTCATTTTAACAGTAAGTTTATTTCTCAAAGTAAAATATAACCAACTTTCAATCTTTCCGTAATTGGCGTAAATTGATGGCAACGAGCATTGGCACAACCTAATAGAGCACGAGAATGAATTATGTACACAACAACCAATAGCATCTGCAAGCAGCTAAAATGCCTCTGTGAGTCTTATTTCATCTTAAATGTCAATACAAATAAGCTAAGCTTCTAAAAAGATATCTGTGGAAAATTCTGTGTAACTATGAAGGGCTTTACAAGAAGAATTGCCAAGAACAAGAAAGAATGGATTGAAGCAGGCAATTAATGTGCCAGCAAACTAGTCAAACAACAAGTGCCAGGTAAGGTTTAGATTATGGGCTACGCCTGGAGATTGCACCTTTGCAAAATAGGGTGGCCAAACCCCACAAATTTGGACCAATAACCTTTATATCTTCCCATCGCAATATCCAACCAAGGCTTCCTAATTCCATCATAGTGTATGACGGCAGCCCGCTCTATCTCATTTCTATCGACTTCCGAGTCATAACCAAGGCCAAGAATGTGCCACCGTCTGTCCAAAATCATAGTTTTGTTATAGAAGGTGAGCCAGCCTAAAGGCAGACTTCCAATGTTCCACAATGGCCTCTTGGAACCCTGCAATTAATAATCATTGCATCAGAATTTATAGAATTTATATTTGTGCCCCATCTAACTGTAATTTAAACAAGAACTTCGATACATTCCCTCATTAGATTCAATCATCAAAACTAGAAATATGAAGACGTCGCTTTGAACAACAAATCTAAATGTCATGGAGATGTCAAATCTTTGCCTAGTACTAACCTAACACGTAGGTAAAATATCATAATAAGAAGTCATGAACTTCTAGTTTCAGCATTCTAATAATGCAAGAAAACTATTCTCTAGGATTGATCCAATCCAATTTCAAGGGAGCAGATCCCATTAAATGGCGCAATTCAACTCTACATTTCTTTATTAATGCCAAGAGCCAAACTGAAGATCTAAAGAGATTTAAATGTAGGAAAATTTCTTTGGGGAACGGGCCAAGGGAGGGGATAAAAAATAGTCACTCTGAACAAAGGAAAATGAACTAGAAGCGTGTAACAAAATAAAGACATTTCTTTAACCATACCATTTGTAAATATTTGTGATAGACAGCAGTTAAATTATGTCTCCTCCACTGTTGCAAATCAAACAAGTTCATCCCGAATGCCCATGTGCAAGCATTGACATCAAACCTTTTTGCAATGAATGGATCTGAGAAGTTTATGAACATATCCATTCTATGAAACGAAGTTTGACCTTCCTGACAAGTCCCAACTGCTGCATTTACTTTTCCATTCATATTGGCCTTCCATAGTCCACTGAGGTCTTGTTGCACTACCACATCATGATCAAAGAGCAGAATCTTATTTAGAGCAGGGAAGATGTCTGGCAGGTAGAAACGCAGGAAGTTCAATTCAGAAGTATATCTTGGATCACTGGAATTATATTTGTTGGAAGTATTGAACTTGGACAATTCGAAGTTGTCTATGCTCTGTATGTGGATTGTGGTTTTGCCAGGAGGGTTTAATAAGAACCACATTGAGATTGCAGGAAAGTTGAGTGAATTGGTCACTACATGGAAAACAAGTTTCTCCTGTTCCTGCAATTTAAAAGTCATTGTCAAGCTTCCTTGCCATTATATATCACAAATTCTCAAAAAAAAAAAAAAAAAAAAAAAAAAAAAAATACACGCGCTCACACACACACATTTTAACAAAATAACAACCAAGCCTTATCCCACAAGGTGAGGTCAGCAATATGGATCAATTGATGCCATTATCCTACGCTGTATATAAATTAAAAAGAATCAATTGATGCCATTATCCTTATGCTTGATAAGGGACAGGGTTTGATGCAGATAAAGGTGACTGCATTCTTATGGGAAAAAAGACTTATTAGAGGATCTCATGTAGCTTTCCTCTCTCAGTGTATCTGTCGTATTGGGCTACAAGTTAGAAACTTTTATAAAGTGCTGAGAAAACTAATAAGGTAGAAACTGGGAAATCATTGTTTATTCATTAGTTAATGGTGTAAGTGATATTATAAGAAATTGTCATAAATCAATTATCCGGAAAGCTTAAGCTATTGAGATTGTATATCTAATAGAAATAATTTTTCTTGAGCAAAATATATCAATAGTTTTTTAAAAAGCAGTAGAGAAATTGAGAGAGGTGTAGAATGTCTAAAAAGAAGGGAGGTACTGCTAAGGAATTTTGATTCATTAGTGATGTTCCATAATGAAATATCATATATCTTCTAGTGTTTTAACTGGTTCGACTTATTGATTCTGCAGTGCCCAAAGCAGCAAGATAACTCTTTTAAGGTAGTCAGGCTGGAGAGGTAAACTTCAAATTGCACTCAGAATAGCTATAAAAGAAGGGAAATCATTTGGTTATGTTACAGGAAATCAATTGTTCCTTCCACAGATCGATATCTGTGCATCACTTCTTTTTTTATAAAAACTGGTGGGGCCTACTTGTATTGTGAGTGTAGCATAATGCAAGCTTCATCTTGTGACATAATATTCATAAATCCTGTTAGAAATAATATTAATTTATTATTATTAGAATAGTCTAGATTGTGGGCTTGGCCCATTAGGTCATCCCATTAGGTCTTTTAGTCTCTATAAATAGAGAGCCTCCTTGTACAGACTTACACACTTGAATATACAATATATTTCAGATTCAATTTGGTATCAGAGCTCTCGATCTGAGGGCTCTGCTTCCGCATATATATCTTTTCCTTTCTTATTTACTGCCGTGCATCATACCGGCAACCTTTTTCAACCCTCCGAACATTGTTAGACCCTTTTTCGATCTCAGATCGTCATCCTCATTCATTATTTGACCGGAAAACACTGTTCACATCGCCAGAAACACTGTTCCGTCACTGTTCATCACTGTTTCGGCAACCTTTCCGGCGAGAAACCACGCGATCAGGATCCCCTCACGCCGGCGACCATTTCTGTCCAAGACCCGTCCCAAACGGCCGCCGCATGCGCCTCCACGCGCCACCACAGCCGTCTGCGCGTGGGCCTCACGCGCCACCTCTCTCCGGCGCGTGTGCACTGTTCCGGCCACCTATTCCGGCCAAACCAAGGCAGACAGGCTCGCCTTTGCCTCCTCCTTCCAGATCCGGTGCCCGTTCGTTGTGGGTCTCTTCCGTTCGAGGGTTTCCAGTGCAAAAGTCGCTACTTTGTTCCTTTTTCGCGTGACTTTTACAGTTTTTTGGTTGTCTGATCGCTGTTCCTGATGGAAGGAACCAGTAAACATTCTTCCGACATCATTTCAAGTGCTATTCCATCTATCACAACTCTGAAATTGACCGGATTTGCCACTTACAAGACCTGGTCTACCTCCGTTAAGATCTGGTTTACCAGTCAAGGCCATGACAAACATCTCACCACTAAGAAGACTGATATTTCCAAAGATCAGATGACTGAATGGGAGAAAGTTGATGCTCAGCTCCTCAGTATTCTTTGGCAATCCATTGATTCATCTCTTCTCAATATTTTCATTTCCTTTGAGACCTGCTATGATGTGTGGACGGAAGCCAAAAACCTCTACACCAATGATATTCAGCAACTTTATTCCATTGTCTCCCAGATGATGGATTTGCGCAAATCACCCGAAGCTCGTATGAAAGTTTATGTTGGTAAGATTCGTTCTTTGATGCAGGAATTTTTGGCTATGTTACCTCATGCTGCGGATGCTACAGTGTACAGGACGCAAGTGGAGCGTCTTTTTACGATTGTGACTCTCTCTGGTCTCCCTGACGGATTAGAAAGTGTTTGTGAGAACATTCTAACCAGTACTGAGATTCCCAGCATATCCCAGACCTTTCAGCGCCTTCTGAATCTTCAAGATAAGGTGGCCCTCGCACACGTGCCAGCTACTGACTCTACTGCTCTCTTGTCTGATTTTGCTGCTTTAGTCTCTCGTGGTAATTGGAACAATGGTGGACGCGGTCGTGGTCGCGGACAAGGCGGTCACGGGCCCATGACATCATATGGCCCAGGCGGGCGCGGACAGACGATGTCATATGGACAGGGTGGCCGAGGACAAAGGCCTCGGTGTAATTATTGCCAAAATCTGGGCCACATTGAAGAACGTTGTTATAGAAAGTACCCTCACTTGAAGCCACCACATATGAACTTTGCTCAAACAGATGTTGTGCCGCCCTCTACCGGATCAGTGACTATTTCCACTGCAGACTATGAGGCCCTTCTCCAAAAGAGTTCTTCTCAGCCACCTGCTCCAGATACTAGTAATCATGTTGCTTGTTTTTCTCAATCGTCTCTTGGACCCTGGATAATAGACTCAGGTGCTACTGATCATCTTTGTGGTAATAAAGATCTTTTTACTTCCCTTACCTTTTCTAATAATCTTCCCTCTGTTACTCTTGCTGATGGCATCAAGGCTCCTGCTCGTGGCATTGGGCAAGCCAAACCAACTCCCTTCTTAACTTTAACCTCTGTTTATTACATCCCTGGCATTCCTTTTAATTTAATTTCTGTTAGTCAATTGACCCATTCTCTTTCTTGCTCTATCACCTTTTCTAAATAGTCTTTTTCTATGCAGGATTCGGGTACGGGGAAGACGATTGGAGCGGGCGGTGAGTCACGAGGTCTCTACTATCTGCATGCACCCTCTGCTCCAGTTGCATGCTCTCTCACAGAGTCTCCTGAGCTTCTCCATAGCCGTCTGGGTCATCCAAGTCTCTCGAAGCTTCAGCATATGGTTCCTTTTTTGTCAGGTCTTAAGTCTTTGAATTGTCAGTCTTGTCAGCAGGGAAAGCATACTCGCTCTTCCTTTGCTAGTAGAGTCAATAAGAGAGCTGCTGCTCCCTTTTCTATTGTTCATTCTGATATTTGGGGTCCGAGTCGGACTATGTCAGTTTTGGGTTTTCAGTATTTTGTAACCTTTATTGATGATTTCTCCCGTTGTACTTGGGTTTATTTAATGAAAAATCGTTCTGAGTTATTTTCAATTTATCAAAAGTTTTGTGCAGAAATAAAAACTCAATTTGGTGCTTCTATTCAAATCTTGCGCAGTGATAATGCAAAAGAGTATGTGTCTCTTGAATTTTTTAAATTTCTGGATACACATGGGACGATACACCAGACTACCTGTCCCCACACTCCACAACAAAATGGAGTCGCTGAACGTAAAAATAGACATCTAGTTGAAACTGCACGTACTCTTCTCATTCATATGAACGTCTCACTCCGTTTTTGGGCAGATGCTATTATCACCTCATGTTTCCTTATCAACCGCATGCCCTCTTCTGTGCTAAATAATGATGTTCCCCACAGTATTTTGTTTTCCGGAGCACCTTCTTATCCTCTGCCTTTACATATTTTTGGCTGTACTTGTTTTGTTCATGATCTTACTCCAGGTAAAGACAAGTTGACATCCAAGGCCTTCAAATGTATTTTCCTTGGGTATACACGTTTTCAAAAAGGGTATCGTTGCTATTCTCCCGATCTCAAGCCTTATATCGTTTCTGCTGATGTCACTTTCTTTGATCAGCAGCCTTTTTACTCTACTCCGTCTCCAGTGTCACAGGTTGATCAGGTCCTTCCTGTTCCTTTTCTTGACTTGTCTTTACCAGCTGCAGGTGACCCTATTCCAGAGGAGCAACCAATTACCTCCATACCTGCAGATCGCCTTTTCCCGTCGGCTCTTCTCCTTCGGATCCTCCATCAGAGACTCCTCCCATTGCCCTTCGGAAAGGTATTCGATCCACTCGAAATCCTCATCCCCTTTATTCTTTCTTGAGTTATGACAGACTTTCTTCACAACATTTTACTTTTGTTTCTAGTCTCTCTTCTGTTTCCATCCCTAAAACCACAGGTGAAGCACTATCTCATCCAGGGTGGCGCCAGGCGATGCTTGATGAAATGCAGGCACTTCACTCCAATGGCACTTGGGATCTTGTTCGTGCTCCTCCCGGGAAGTCTGTTGTTGGTTGTCAATGGGTGTTCACAGTTAAAGTTGGTCCTGATGGCACTGTTGATCGCCTTAAAGCTCGCTTAGTGGCCAAGGGATACACACAGATCTTTGGTCTTGATTATGGGGATACCTTTTCTCCTGTTGCTAAGATGGCTTCTGTTCGCCTGTTGCTTGCCCTTGCCGCCATTCATCACTGGCCCCTTCTCCAACTTGATATTAAGAATGCTTTTCTACATGGTGACTTGCAGGAGGAAGTTTATATGGAGCAACCACCAGGTTTTGTTGCTCAGGGGGAGAGTTCTGGAATGATATGTAAACTTCGGAAATTTTTATATGGCCTGAAGCAATCTCCTCGGGCCTGGTTTAGCCGCTTTAGTTCAGTTGTTGAATCCTTTGGCTTAATCAGAAGCAAAGCCGATCATTCTGTCTTTTACCGGCATAGCTCTTCTGGCCAGTGCGTTTATCTCCTGGTCTATGTTGATGACATTATCATTACAGGCAGTGATCAGACCGGGATTAATCAGTTGAAAGAGCATTTATTCAATCAATTTCAGACCAAAGATCTTGGCAGACTTCGATATTTCTTGGGGATCGAAGTTGCACAGTCTAGGCGGGGCATTTCCATCTGTCAGAGGAAGTATGCACTGGATATCCTAGATGAGACTGGCATGTTAGGCTGTAAACCCATTGATACACCTATGGACCCCAATGTTAAGTTATTACCAGGACAGGGGGAGCCACTGCCAGATCCTAGTCGCTACTGCCGACTAGTTGGAAAATTGAATTATCTTACTGTGACAAGGCCAGATATCTCCTTCGTAGTGAGTGTTGCAAGTCAATTTCTTGATTCTCCCTGTGACTCCCATTGGGATGCAGTTATTAGAATTCTCCGATATATTAAAAAGGCGCCAGGAAGAGGTTTATTATATACAAATAAAGAGAGTTCAGAGATCTCTAGTTATTCAGATGCTGATTGGGCAGGTTCTCCTTCAGATAGACGATCCACCTCAGGGTATTGTTTTCTCTTCGGAGGAAATTTGATCTCTTGGAAGAGTAAGAAGCAAACTGTGGTCGCCAGATCCAGTGCGGAGGCAGAATATCGGGCAATGGCAAATGCAACCTGTGAGCTCATCTGGCTGAGACAATTGCTGAAGGAACTCCATCTCTGTGAACAAAGGCCTATGAAGCTCATTTGTGACAACCAAGCCACTTTGCATATATCCTCTAACCCAGTCTTTCATGAGAGGACCAAGCATATAAAAATCGACTGTCATTTTGTTAGAGAAAAGATCCAGTCAAGGGAGATCGAGACAACATTTGTCAATTCCAATGATCAACTTGCGGATGTATTCACTAAAGCTCTTAGAGGTCCCCGAATAGATCATATTTGTAACAAGCTGGGAGCTTTTGATATATACGCACCAGCTTGAGGGGGAGTGTTAGAAATAATATTAATTTATTATTATTAGAATAGTCTAGAATAGTTTAGATTGTGGGCTTGGCCCATTAGATCATCCCATTAGGTCTTTTAGTCTCTATAAATAGAGAGCCTCCTTATACAGACTTACACACTTGAATATACAATATATTTCAGATTCAATTAATCCAATAAAAGAAATGCCAAGTAAAATGAATCTAGGTTCAAGGAAGGATAAGAATGAGATGGAGTTGGTGTCAGAATCATGCATTCTTACCACCTGGTCCTATAATCACCCACTCCAAAGGCAAAGAATATAATGAAGAAAATCCTCAAGCATAAACAATTATTATGTAGTACACATGTACTGCAATAAGTGTAGACAAGCCCTTTTGGCTGATATGGACGAGACTTGAGGGGCATCTCCAGTCCAAAGTAACCACTAATGGACTAACTTGAAAATAACTTGACAGCTAAACTTATTAATATTGAATTTCCTAGTATCTTTTTCTCTGTCAGCAGTTGCATCAGGGTTTGACATTAGCCAAAAATAAAAGCAAAGAACAACTGAGTTAAAGGAAAAATAAAAATAAAAAGCCAATCCATTTACCTTGGCATTAGATACAGTGGAGTTAACAACCACTGCACATGCCAGAACATTGTCAGAGAAGACAGCATAATGATGAAGTTTTGGATCATGAATCTTATTTTCATTTGGGAGCTTCCTATCCTCAGGTCTCAGGGCAAAGTAATCAGCAGTTAGCCGCATAGAAAGACAGTGAAGACCTTTCGGGGTGGTCCTTGCAGCAAGATGAACAAGAAATGTTGTTTGGTCTCGCTGAGAACGAACTTGCTGTTCAGCATTATGATTCATTGTACGGAGCTTAGCAGCCATAGCAGTGCAGTCTGGGAAAGCACGACTGGCTTTAGAGAGTGAAGCCTCCATTTGTCTCATTTTCTGCAAAGCACTGTGAACTTCACTTGTTTTCAGATAGAAAAACATTCATTTTCTTCTAACAGTTCATATCACATCAAATTTCTACATGAATGATTTTCTCCATCATTATTTTGTACTGAAAGACATGCAGCTGCCATATTTTCACAGATTGGAATTTGAATTTTTGAGAAAAACTTATGTTTTGGTCTCTGAAAAACATGTTTCTTAAAATGATCCCTCCACTTCTAATTTTCTCTTCTGAAGCCTTGTACAATGTACATTTAATTTGCTTCAATCAGTGCAAAGGATTGGAATGACCAAATAGAAGCAAATTGAAACAAACAGGGAATCAATTAAGCAAATTAGCAGTACATGAAAAAATGGTATATCTTTCAAAGCTTCAGTTTCCTCTTGAAACTTGTGCATTGTATTTAGTAAATAATGGTAAAAATAATTGCTGAACAAAATGCATGTTGTAGAATTACAAAGAAAATTTTACCTCCTTGTCAGATCTGAATCCTTGGTAGCTTCTCCAACTGCATGTTCCATCTCTTTAATTCTCAGCTTCAACTCCTTCACCAAGTGGGAGTTGCTGTTTGGTGGAGCAAAGCCCAAGTATGCTCTGGCTCTAATAATTTGATCCTTAATCTCCTCAACCTTCTGAATTGTCACTCTCCGAGACTGAGAGCGTGAAATCTGATGATGATGGGTTGCTGTTCGAACAGATTGCTTATCTGTCACTTTAATATTCTCATCTATCATTCTTTGAGAGTGAGTGAGTATATTCTGATTGTTGGTTACTGTTTTATTAAATTTCCCCTGCAAATAAAAACAAATTCAAAAATTAATATAAGATTGCAAAGAGAAATTTCTATGTGATCTAATTTGCATTCACACTTTGATTGAATACATATAGGTATATAAGAAATATAAAGTTCCCCACCATGGATGACTGCTATTTCTTTGTATTTGTAATTCATTTGCATCCCCAGTGAAGATATACAATCCAGTTAAAAGCATGGAGATGCCAAAAAATAATGAAGACAATCATATTCTTCAGTTCAGAAATGGAACAGGAAAATAGCATGTATAATAAAAAAATTACTTAAAACTACTTTCCTGATCCATTTTAAATAACTCCAATAGCACATCAGCTCACATTTGGACATGGATATTGAAGCCAAAAGCAACAATAAGATCTTGCTATCAACAATAACAAAATTACATGGGGCAAATTATAAAATGTGAACCCTTCATAAAATGCACCCGAAAACTTCCAATCCTTTGCATAAATCATAAATTTCAAGGTAGGTACATAGTAATCCTCATGAGTAACTAATTTGTCAAAGTCATTCAAACATTCCCATGTAGCTAGGCATTAGGCATGGATGGAATCAACCACTAGGGATGAATTGACACTTGATAGTGTTCAAGCAAAATGGGGAGCATTCACACATCTGATGCTTAAGTTGATTGTCCAACTAAAATTTCATATAGGAACCAAAACCAACGAGGCACTGATACAATCTTTTCCAAAAAAAAATTGCGTGTCAGACACCGACACGTTCCGACACGCAGTCAATATTTCTGGACACGTTGACCATTCCTACACGCAATTTTGACCGTGTCGGACACGGTCAAGGGACAAAAATGTAAATTTTTTTATATTTTTATAAAATTGAAATAATCTAACAAAAAAACAGACAAATAAGGTAGTAAGGGCCGCCGAGCATGGTGAAGAGGTCATGTGTGGCAGCGGAGAGGATGCCACGGAGGGAGAGGTTGATGTCGCAGCCGTTGGGGAGGAGGCAGTTGTGGAGGAAGAGGCGGAGCATGGCGTCAGCGGTGGTTGGGCTCGAGATCTGCTTGTTTGTGATAGTGTCTTGGATGATGATGTTGAACTGTGGACACATGTCCTTGTACTAATTGTAACATCCCAAGCGCTGACGAGGACGAGGAGTGATCGCCAGTGCGAAAGGGCATGGACAAGGAGCGGCTCCTGACAGGCTTCCAGCGGGGGGTTACATGAACGAATGAATCGAATCGACACCTGAAAGAGAGGGATTCCAAAGACTGAGCGGTATGAGACTGCTCAGTTTGGGATAACTTATAAGAATTAATTGGTACTACCTATACTAACAAGATGCATCTGCTTTTCGGTAGCCCGGAACGGAAGAACTCCATATCCGGGAAAAGCCATCTTTTTATCAACAATGTCTTGAATCGGAGTTTGAAGAAGGGGAAGGAGTCCTCGACCCGTGCTTGATTTGGAGCAAATCTGGGATGGGTGACCTTCTGAGAAGTTTTCCCGGAAAGTGTGCGAGTGAGGAAAAAGCACACTGAAAAGTCTCGTGTTAGTATGTGGGGATAGTTGTTGATTCTTGAAGCGGCCGGGCGTTACAAGTGGTATCAGAGCAGGGCCTCTCTTCCAGTACGGTGTGGTTCGAGGACGAACCAGGTGGAAGCTGGTGGGCATGTAACATCCCAAGCGCTGACGAGGACGGGGAGTGATCGCCGGTGCGAAAGGGCATGGACAAGAAGCGGCTCCTGACAGGCTTCCAGCGGGGGTTACATGAACGAATGAATCGAATCGACACCCGTAAGAGAGGGATTCCAAAGACTGTGCAGGTATGAGACTGCACAGTTTGGGATAGCTTATAAGAATTAATTGGTACTACCTATACTAACAAGATGCATATGCTTTTCGGTAGCCCGAAACGGAAGAACTCCATAGTTAAGCGTGCTTGACTTGAGAGCAAATCTGGGATAGGTGACCTTCTGGGAAGTTTTCCCGGGAAGTCTGCGAGTGAGGAAAAAGCACACTGAAAAGTCTCGTTTTAGTATGTGAGGATAGTCGTTGATTCTTGAAGTGGCCGGGCGTTATACTAATCTAAGGTGAGTTTTGCATATGATGTTTTAAAGAAGAACAATGAGAATGCTGCGAATAAGAACATGTTGGAGGAGGATGCCATTGTTTGTTTTGGGCGAAGATTGAAGAAGAGAGTGTGAAAAGAAATGGAAGTAAAAAATGAGAAAGAGAGAAGGACTAACTAGATGGAAGAGAGAGAGTGATGAACACGCGTAGCATAAATCACAGGATGCGTGATGGAGTGGGGACACACACCTCTATAGGCTGGCAGACATCATTACTCAAAATGGATTTATTTTTTAGCTGACAAATGAAATTCTAAATAAAAAATATTAGGAAATATTAAATTACAAAGTATTATTAACAGAAATGATTTTTAATATATATATCAAAATATTATTTAATATCAAAACGTGTCCCAATGTATCGAAATATGGCATTTTTTAAAATTAACGTATCGGAGCGTCGTGTCATATCGTGTCCCGTGTCGGTGTCTGTCAGTGCAACATAGACCAAAACTGAGGCATGCTTTTAGATAACTTTAAATCCACATTATAAGTTCAGCAAGTGATAAAGCAATCTCTACATAGTGAAATACAGAGAAGAACAGTTAAGTAAACCTGTATTCTCAAATTTAGATTGGCAAAAAGAAAGTAGATAATAAGTGCACTCTTTAAGAGGTCGAACAAAATGTGCAAAATATCCAAGTTTATGATATTTCTTGTCAGAACAGCATTTACATTAGGTCAGAGAAGTTTCTATCTTAAAATTAAAACCTCAAGCACAAAGCTGATATATCATAAAAGTTGTTTTTTATGTCAATTTGGTTCATTTAGTAAAAAAAAAAAAAATCTTGTAAAACAAAAAATAGACACCATGCGTCCTTCAATTTTTAATGGCAGTAATTCAAAGGAATTAGTAAAAACCTTATCTCCATCCATGGAGGATAATCCTTTCTGTTGAGCTTCCTGGTCTTGTATTTTGTCATGGTCGAATTCTGAAACTTGATAACAATGAAAACTTCAGTCAGCAACAAACATTGTTGAGTACTTGAGTAGCATTATGTAAATCCAAAAAATTAAGAAGTGCACCTACAGATACCAACCATTTCTTTCCAAAAGGTTATTTCTGTACCCCTCAATTCTAGATTCCTCGGAATCATTAATCTTTTCCGAACTATAACTATTCGATGAACCAAAATCTTTTTCTTCATAAACAACTTGCTTTGGCTCTTCTAATTCTTCAGCACCTTCCTGAATTGCCCAAAAAAAAGGTCCAAAGACAAGCAAAACTTAAATATCTTTATTCTCCAATTCACCGTGGGGAAAAGAAGAAAGACTTGACACATGATAGCAAAAATTCTAATCAAATCTTCCACTACCTGTTCTATAGCATTTAACCTCAAAGGATCTGTCCTGTATGTCTGCAACAAACAAATAACGATCAATTCAATTTCTATAGCAGAGAGTATCACAAGCTGCACAAGTTCATTAACAGCTGAAGAAGCACGAAAAAAAAAACGAAAAATGTCTTCAAGTTAAAATAATTAAATATGAAATATCAGACTATCGATGATTAAAATCCTAGAAAGCAAAAGAAATTCCAGTGAGCTGTCGGTCGGCAAACTTTTCAACTCGCAGACACTACAACAGGATGAATCAAAATTTAATTTAATGAAAAAGAAAAGAAAATTATTCACTATATTTCCTCTCACTGATATCCTTTCCCTGAAACTAAACAGGTTGAGCTATATAAGCAATTGAACTAGAAGCAAGAGTCTTACATGACTCGATAAATCATCGAGAAACTCTCTTCGTCCTGAAACGGAATTTAACAGAAACGCACAAAGTCAAATAAAAAAGAGATAACAAAACGGAAAGAGAGCACTCGGAACAATGCGAACTCGAGTATGCACATGGAACGAGTTTTTACCATCGGGAGTGAGAACTTTAAGCCTGCGAGAGACGAAAACGAGAGGAGCAACGACGGAGAGAGAGAGCAGGCAGAGGATCAGAGTCCTCTGCCACCGTTGAGATTGCTTCATCGATGTCAGTCACCGGTTGACAACGGAAGAAGCGTTGCTCGCTGTCGCTCTGCGATTCCGAATCGTTCTCGAGAAGCACATTTCACGGATTCAGATCACAGAGAATTCGATGCCTCGAAACAAAAGTAACGAACAATCACGGAGCCTAGGGTTTCAGTTATTCGCTTTTGCGCTTTTTGGAGAGAGAGAGATACAGTAAGCAGCTCCTTCCATGTTCGCCCCCTCAGAGAAAGAAATACCTTGTTTAATTTTTTCTCTCTCTCTCTTCCTTTTTTTTTATTTTACTTTTATTTTTGTCTTCGTGTTATATAGTTTTGGGGGTTGCCTCGAGATTTGTGCATCAGGAATGATAGAAACGGTAGGTACTTAACATTCATCATGGATGACAAGGATGACAGATACGCGTTGATGTGATGGTCATACTCATCACTGCTTACACTTATTCTCACACCATTAATACCAAATTACCAATCACTTTGAATTTTGATGGCTTTGTTTTTTTTATTTAGCACCAATCACGGTTCATGGGGGAGCACAAATAGCACAAGATTGAAGATTATTATTGGATTGGATTTATTAAAGAGTGGTTAAAAGTAAAAAAAAAAAAAAAAGGTTAAAAATAACATTAAACAAAAATAATGCTTTAGACCATCATAGACCTGTGATCCATAGCGATGTCTTCTCCATAGAGATATGCTGCCATACTCATCCAAGATATAATTGACCGATTGGATATTCTTGATCATATTGCATCACTCAAATAATATATTTATTTTATTGAAATCACCAAATTATTTATGTTCAATTTAAATAATTAAAATATTTAATAAAGAATATTAAAATATCTATAATTAATACTTATTAAAAAACTCTTATTGATTTGGTTGTTCTGCATCTTGTATGCTCAAATATGGGTCATAAATTTGTTAAGCTTCTTGTTACCAGTACATTCCATTTTGCGCCTGTGATGCGCCAATCAAGTTAAAATGGTTAACCTACCTAAGAAAAAGGTATCAACTTCATGAGAATCCCTTGCCTTTGCTTGCCTCGGTTGTGGATATTAAAATCAAACCTAACTTCGAGTACGTGGTTTTTTGAGTGAATGTTAAGATTCCAAACAATGATAATAAATGCTACTAATTTTCTAGTAATAAATTGTGTTGGGTTTTTGTATACTCAAGCAAAAATAAGAATATTACTTAAAATAAATAATCCATCCGGTTTAAATATATATCTAGTTACAAATGTAACCAAGTTTTGCTTTATTTCATTTTATTTAAGGGTGCATTTTTTCTACGGTCAATGTAGATAACTTATCTACATTGAGCACAAAACGACGTCGTTTTAAATCGGAAATCAATGTATTTTTGTAATTATAATTTATTTCAAGGTTATAATAGTCTTTTTTATTATAATTTTTTAATTTTTCAATCTAAAACGACGTCGGTTTGGGAGTGAATGTAGATAACTTATCTACATTCACTGTAGAAATATTAAAGCCTTTATTTAATATACAAAATAGTTAAAACAAATCTGTAATAATAATTTGACCGAGAAAAATTATTTTCTGTCTCTTCAGGTTTATTAATATCAAAGTTTAATTTTTGTCGTGAATTCCTTCTTATCATGTAAGATTGATCTCAAAGCGTAGCAACAGATTTATCATAAAAGGTACAAAAAAATTAGTATTAAGTATTATTTTATTTTTTGAGATAAATAATAAATTGATAAGTAAATAGGTATGTAGTCATTTGAAATTTAAAACTTTTATTTTGTAGTTTAAAAAATACATAAAGAAGAATTAGCATATACATTAATGCGGATAAATTACGCGAATAAAATCATTTTTATTTAATAATAATAATATTAACTAGTCCCGAATAAGGACAAGAATGAAATAAGCATGGTTTTGTTGGGCATCCATTTTTGGGGGGCTTGATAGGGTTGTCTTAAAATAAATCGAGGCAAACGCTTATGCACCATGACAAATGGCAATTTATGGTGTTGCTACATTTCACTTTCACCCTACACATTAATCCCGTCGCAAAAATATATTTATGTGCCTGCCATAAAAAAGAGCCAGGTCTAGTAATTACAACCATGAACTCTACCATACCAAATCATTATTCCCCCAATTACTGTGTGTGCTATTTTATCATTTTCAGTAGCAGGTTGGTCGGTTTCAGATTTATTTGTTCCTCCTTGCCAATGGGACATTGACACTTACGTTTTTAAGATTATGCTTGCACTGAAATTACATTTGACAAGATGCATTGAGTTCGATTGATCATACATGTCTTCAATTTTTTTCGTAGGTTTAAGAGATGGGAAAGAGAATCCACAATCCATATCACAGAACACCGCCAGCTGTATCGCGTGCACTCTACAGAACTGGGACAAGAATATAGTAATGTGGAAACATATTTTATATTCAGTGAAGCTATTGTGGAAAAAAAAGTACATTTCATAAATTATCAATTTGGCTTGTTTTGGTACTATAAATTTACTTACGTAAATATTAATAAGAATATATAATATATTATAATTCAAATTATTATGTGAAAATTTTTGTCATGTATAATTTATATAATGATTTGAATTATGTTGAAAAGTATAAATTTTTCATTTTAAACAAGTTCTTAAAAAAATTTAAATGATATGTGTCATGGGCCAAGTAGGACTTGATTCATGGTGTAATCTAATTAATTTAAATATTAAATTAATAAAATTAATTTAATTTTGAATTTAAAATTTGAATTTAAATATACTCATGAAATTAGATTTGATGACAATAGAGAAAATTAAGAAAATTAATTAATTAGATTGATTGGCAAAAATTAGGGAAACCAATCAATTTGATTGATTGGATAAAAAAAAGTAAATTATCTAATATGATTAAAAATGATGGGGCGCTAATCAAGGAATTGATTAGCCATTATATTTAATTTCTCTTTTTTCTTATTTAAATGAGATATTTTTCTTATTTTGCTCCATCCAAAATCTTAGCCAAAAATTACTCACTACTGTCGCGGCCCCTCCCTCTCTTGAACAAACCCTAGTCGCCACTCTCCTTTGACTCTTCTCTTGAGTTTTAGCAACCTCTCTTAAAGGATCTTGAATGTTGAAAAATTGTTCTTCTATCATCATGTGTCTCATCTGATTATTCACACTCTTCAGTATATCTCCCTCACAATATCTCTTTCATCTTCTTTTCTGTCATCTGAATTGCAACTTCCTCCAAAATTAAAATTGCATCTTCAACTTCTGGCTCAAAACAAGCAAGATTGGAAGAAAACGTCAGTTGTGTAGGAAACGACAATCGAAAAACCCACATAATTCAAGTAATTCTAGTCTTTTACAAACAACATTTCACTCAACAATTTGGCATTATTTGCTTTTTCCTTCAACGAAACTATTTCATTTAAATTTTATACTCTACAATGAAAAAATTTATATCTCTGTACTCATAAAATATTGTTTCTCTTTAAACAATTATTTCACATATGTCTAATACCCAATACCAATTTCAACTATAATAAGAAATTAAAAAGGTTTGTTGGTATTGGTCTTGGATCATGTTCATTGTATGAGCTTGTTGGTTATTGGAGCTTGTTTCTAGAGCTATGGATACGTTGTTCACATTATTCAGTTTGTAACCGGGTGGAAAGCCATAGAGGAGATAACAGATGAAAATATGGTATCAATCTGTTGGTTTGTTCCATTGATTGGTTGCCTTTAAATAGGCTTAAATAAAATACAAATAATCAGCAAACTATAAAACAAAACTAACTATCCTAGGAGCCTAAATGCTGTACGTACAATCTGCTAAAAGCATCGAATAAGATGCTAACAATACTAACAAATATGATAACTATCCTAGGAGCCTAAAAGTTGTACGTACAATCTGCTAACAACATCGAATAAGATGCTAACAATACTAACAAATATGATAACAAGCTAACAATAAGGAAACTACTAGGATTACACGGAAACAGAATATATTTACATGCTAACTGCATATATTCTTTCAACTCTCCCCCTCAAGTTGGAGCATGTAAGAATGAAATGCCTAACTTGGGAAGGAATGCAAGAAATACAAATTGTCCCAATGCCTTGGTGAAAAGATCTGCCAGCTGAGCGGAATAGCGAACATGTGAAGTAGCAATGGTGTTCGCCTGAATATGTTCTCGAACAAAATGGCAGTCCAGTTCAATATGTTTTGTCCGCTCATGAAAAACGGGGTTAGCAGCAATATGAAGAGCTGTTGTATTATCACAGAATAACTGCATGGGTATTATATGATTTACACCAAGAGACGCAAGGAATCCTTTTAACCAAATTAACTCTGTTGTAGCGGCTGCCATGGCTCTATATTCAGCTTCAGCAGAAGATCGTGCAACGGTGACCTGCTTCTTTGTTCTCCATGAAATAGGTGATGTGCCCAACATAACAAAATATCCAGTAACAGATCTTCTTGTAAGAGGACAAGAAGCCTAATCGGAATCACAATACGCATGAATTTGGAGATCACATGCACTTTTTAATAGAAGACCTTGACCAGGATTTTGTTTCACATACCTTAACACACATAGGACCGCATCGTAGTGAACTTGCTTTGGATGCTGCATAAATTGAGAGAGGACATGTATACCATAACTCAAATCTGGTCTTGTAATATTTAAATAAATCAATTTTCCAATCAATCTTCTATATCTCTCTGGATTTTCGATGTCTGGGCCATCAGCAAGTCCAAGTCTATGATTTTGTTCAATAAGAGATACATCTGGTTTGCTTCCACTAAGACCTGCTTCATGTAAAATATCAAGAGCATATTTTCGCTGACACAAAAATATTCCTTCTTTGTTACGGGCTATCTCAATCCCAAGAAAGTATTTCAGCTTGCCCAAATCCTTGATTTTAAAACACTTGTTTAAATACTCCTTGACTTGATTGCATGCTTGAGTATTATTTCCTGCCAACACTATATCATCAACATAAGGAGAGCAAGAAAAATATCACCTCTTTGGAATGTGAACAAAGTATAATCAGCATGAGATTGTTGAAACCCGTATTTTGTAAGTGATGAGCTCAGTTTACTAAACCAATTTCTTGGAGATTGTCTCAATCCGTAGAGTGACTTTTTCAAACGGCACACTTGATCTTTTGTTCCATTGCTAAATCCTGGAGGAAACTTCATATACACCTCTTCACTAAGCTCTCCATTTAGGAAAGCATTATGTACGTCTAGTTGATGTAA